AGCCCACCTTTCTCCTGCTCCATCAGGGACTTTCTGTTGTATTCCGTCAGGGAGGTCATTGGTGGTAGCTGGACACGATCTAGTTCTTCTGGTCTCAGGCTGATGGAGTCTCTGGTTTATGTGGCCCTTTCTGTCTCTTGGGCTAATACTTTCCTTGTGTCTTTGGCGTTCTTCATTCTTCTTTGCTCCAGGTGGGTTGGGACCAGTTGATGCATCTTAGATGGCCGCTTGCTAGCTTTTAAGACCCCAGACGCCACTCACCAAAGTGGGATGCAGAATATTTTCTTAATAAACTTTGCCAATTGACCTAGATATCCCCTGAAACCATGGTCCCCAGACCCCTGTCCCTGCTGCTGTGTCCCTGGAAGTGTTTGGTTGTGTTCAGGGAACTTCCTAGCTTTTGGTTTAGTCCAGTTGTGCTGACTTCCCCTGTAGTGTGTTAGCACCTCATCTTTAGTATGTTACCGTACTTTGAGAAACAGAGATTTCAAGCTTATGAAAAGATAATGGATTATTTTGTGAACAATGAACTAGAAATTTTCTTTCTGTGACGGTACTATCTGATTCTTGAGTTTGGTTTAAAAGCAATTTTTGACCTTCCATTTTCTTTTCTTGCTTGAGAGTCTTTTCTTGGCCTAACATTTTGATTGGTGTTTAGAGGAGTCCTGATCAAAAATGTTTAAGGTGGAGACCCTCATTAGGAAGCTATTGTGATAGGTTTAAGGTGGAGACTGTTATTAGGAAGCTATTGTGCTAGGTTTAAGGTGGAGACCGTTATTAGGAAGTGATTGTGATAGTCCAGTCAAGAAGTAGTAATAGCACAAATAGGATATGGCAGTGCAAATGTGCAAGAGCAGATGACTGGCTGGCTGAGTATGGGGAGTCAAAAGAAAGGAATCAAAGAAGACCTCAGAGGTTGGATTCTGTGCAATTTAAAGGCTGATTGTGTCTGTAACAGAATTATATGAATACAGTGGTTAGGAGTTCGGCTGCTAACCAAAAGGTCAGGAGTTCAAATCCACCAGCTGCTCCTTGGAAACCCTATGGGGCAGTTCTGCTCTGTCCTGTAGGGTTGCTATGAGTTGGAATCGACTCGATGGCAACAGGCTTGTTTTTTTTTTTGTTTTTATCTTTGAGGTGAGTGGGGAGAAGAGGGTGTTATGAAGTGAGGTTTCCCCTGAATGAGTGGGGTCACATTTTGGTTCTGCAGGGTGGAGATGGGATCAAGGCAGTCAGGGTAATGAGAAGGTGATCCAGGATTAAGGAGGCAAACCAGAATCTTGCAAGAGTAAGGATAATTACCATATTAGGAAGGGCCCAAGGGATGGAGAATAATCTAGAATTTAGAACTGGGGAGACAATTTCAGGCGAAAGCTGGTGAGGTTTGAATGATAGGCATCAGTACCAGCTGGGTTTGAGGTTGGTTGTGGGAGGTATGGGTGGAATGGCAGGGTCAACAAGAGCCCGGGGTGATTCAGGCAAGAAATAGGTACTGAGTGGATTAAAGGGAGAAGAACTTTTGGGATGGGAGTCAGGAAGCTAGTTGTTTGATCCTGCTTTACAGATATACACAAACATAATAGTAAAAGGTATTCATTATCAGATGGTTTTTGCTTACACTTTCCTTAGTTGTTTATTCTAGTCTGTAAGAGTAACTGTAATTGGCAGGACTGTGATGTCATCCTTGCACTTTTGATTTCTGTACTGCCGTTTCATTTGACCTGAAGGAAAGCTATTCTCTGGCCTTTGTTCCTGTCCTCAGCCAGTTGACTTGCAGCTGACTGAGCTATTATAAGGGACACGGAAAGAAGATATGGGTGTCCCTCTGGGACAACTCTGCCATTAGAAAGTAGAAAAATAACTCCAGTACATGTGCTGCTGACAGTGGGTTCTTAGCATAATCATTGTGTGTGTCTTTGGTCTCAGTGATGTTGTCAAGACTTAATGAATTATTATTTTTTGAACAGCTTTGTTGAGGTATGATGACATGCAACACATTGCACATATTTAAAGTGGGCAGTTTGGTGAGTTTTAATATATGTGTACCCCCGTGAAACCATCAGAGCAACCGAGAGTAAATGCATCCAGCACCCATAAGTTGCCTTGTACTCTTTGGTGACCTTCTCTTGACCACAGTGCAGAGCTGTGAGCTGAGCCTTTCATCCGTATTTGCTGTTCTAGAAAGTGACCTCCTAACTACCCTGAATTTTGGCACCTGTCAGTACCTTCCCTTTCTCAGCCAAAAGCCTGGTTCAGGCCATTCCTGATTAGTTGTTGTTGTTGCCTTTGTTGTGATTGCCTGCAGCAATAATTCTTGTAACAACCTGTACATAGTGTTATCCGCATTTTACAGATGAGGAAACCAAGACTTAGAGAGTATTACAGAGAGCAGAAGACTAGAAAGTGGCAGAGTCAGGATTCAGGCCTAGATGTGTCTAGCTGCAAAGCCTAAATGATTTAACTGTACGTGTTACCTTCCTGTCTTGCTTTGTTTTCATCCCAACATGAAAACAAAAAGATGTGTTTTGCCTTATTTTTTCACAAGGGAGCGCCTCCAAAAATGGTTCCAAAAGGGAGAGCTGGAAGGAAGAGCTTAAGAAAAAATGGAGAAGAGAAAATGAAAATATATGGGGTTTGGAAATCAGTGACAGCAAATGTCTGACCTCTTCTCTAAGATCATTTTTATTATCTATTTATTTGATCCAAGGTCAACCCAAAATGAATATGTTGAGTGTAGTCCAGGGTTCTCCACTTGAGTCTGAACTGTTTCTGGCTCTTTCTGTTGCTGCTGGAGTTCTACTAGAGCCTTAAGTACAGCTTTCCTTCTTGACTTTCATACTACTTTTAGTTTGCAGGGTTGTTGTTTTTACCTGAATACAGATCAGATAGATTCCTAAAGACAGGAGGTATGCTTAATTATACTTCAGATATATTTGCTCTTGTTTATTTGTATGTGTTTACACTTTTGGGGCTGAACATAAAGTGTTCATAAGACAAAATGAAGAAATATAAAAATTCCTCATATTTTATAAGCTTTAGACTTGTTTTTGCAAGTTGTTAGGTCTGTATCTGCTTTGGAATTCATTTCAAACTAAGTGAATTTATACTGGGAGGACGTCCTTGGAATTTATTGAATATCTGCCCTGTATTATCTTCCTGCTCACATCCTCCCCATGTTAAAAATAAGTAAAACTCTGAGTGATCTGTCATCTAGACCCAAAGTTGATAGGAGTTCCTACAAACTTCTTTGGAGCAAGTACAGTTAGGACTCGTGCTTCAAAATGCTTCACAGCTAGGGTTTATACACAGTAAATACAGATTCTGCAGTGTCTCAAAGTATATACGCTAACTAAATACTAATGGTCTGAAATATTTGTGAAAACTAAATATTAATATCTATAGCAAATGATACCATCTCCTTTGATTAGTTACCAGCAGTTGTGAGAAAAATGCCTGCCCACAAAACAGATTAAGTGAAGACCTACTAATTGTTGGTGGCAGAACAGTTGAATGTGCACTGATCGTATGCACTTGATTTTAGAAAGGTCTTACTTGTAACATTTCTGAAAATTTGTCACTGCCACAATATTAATTTTAAGAATCTCAAATGTTTTCATTGAATTGCATTTGAACTCCACTTTTTAGGGATGTCTTTTCTTATTATTAATTCAGAACTAAGGATATGTGCCTTAAATCCTTTCTAAATTAATTTGCGGCATTTTTTCTAATTAATGGACTCATGAGTTATTATTAAGGTCATCTGTTTTTCATGTTATGGCGATGCACACTCGAGTGTTCTCTGTCTTCACATAGCTTGGTTTTCTTTCTCTGTGAGCATGAAAACAGTAAGTCATGTGAAATAGTAAACACCCTTCATGGTCACCAGCAAATGAGTAGTTGAACTGATTTTGGTACATCTGTGCAATGTAAGGAGCCCTGGTGGTGCAGTGGTTAAGAGCTCGGCTGCTGTTCAAATCCACCAGCTGCTCCTTTGAAACCCTATGGGGCAGTTCTACTCTGTCTTGTAGGGTCCCTATGAGTTGGAATCAACTTAATGGCAGTGGGTTTGGTTTTTTGGTTTTATGCAATGTAATATTATGGACTAGTTAAAATGATGCCTATAAAAGATTTATTAATGAATGTGGTATTCTGAGCCAAAAATAGGATATAAAATCACTTATAGATTTCCTCAGCTATATAAAAATAAGATGGAAAGCAAAAATAGCAAACTAATTAGACACCGGCTTTCTTGTCTTTTATAGTTGTATCTTCAGTTTTTCTGTTATTGTTACCTATTACTTGTAGAATAGAATGTACATCCCTTAAGGCAAGGATTTTGTTTTCTTGCCTAGAACTGTGCCTTATACATAGTAGATGCCAGATAAATCTTTGTTGAATGATTAATTGAAAATCGATATTTTTTTAAAATGTGCATTTTGAATATCCAGTAAGCTTTATTCTACTTAAATTTTAGATGAAAGAGACATTTAAATTTACTAGCTGTGCTATATTACATTGACCGTGAACTTAAAATAAGAGGCATTTTTTTCTGAGTATAGAAATTAAGCCATTGGAAGTTAAAGCAAATTGATATTTAATATTTGCATTTAATTTTTTTTTTTAACTCTTACTTAAATTATCTTAATAGATTCTTCAATTTGAAGATATCTTGGCCAACACATGCTACCGAGAGCACTTTCGAATATACGTGGAGAGGATGGACAAGAGAGCTCTGATTAGTTTTTGGGAGTCTGTGGAATATTTAAAGACTGCTCACAAGGTAGTGAGTACAGACTCAAAGGAGAATTAATCACTCACTGGTGAAGATTTGCATGTTAGACAGTATATCTGTGTTCCTTTATGAAGATGTAAGATAAATATGAATATATCTGTAATACAAAATCATTTTAAGATAAATATGTAGTTATCTTTCATGTATCTACATATACATTAAAAGAATATTTTAAACCAAATTATGATATAGGCATTATGTACTAGCCTGTAATGGTAAACGGAGCCCTGGTGGTAGAGTGGTTAAGTGCTCAGCTGCTAACAAAAGGTTGACAGTTCGAATCCAGCAGCTGCTCCTCGGAAACCCAGTGGGGCAGTTCTACTCTGTTCTGTGGGGTCGCTATGAGTCAGAATCGACTCGATGACAACAGGTTTGTTTTTTGGTTGGTTTTATAATGATACATAAAATTAAGATTTTATTTTTATACAAGATGCTTTTGAATGTGTAGTCAAGGGAAAAAGATTTATAAATATACCAAAAGATTGGATTTTTTAAAAAGTAGTTATTTTTCAAAGACACTGTAAAAACATATACATATTAACATCACTCTTATAATGAATTTGGTCTTAACACCTACGCCTCAGTCTCAGAACCTTGCCAGCCATTTTTAATATCATAATGGGCATATTTTACACCACTCTTCTCCTTTTATTTTCTTAATATGATTGAGTACATGAACAGAAAGATGTTGTTGGTTATAAATGCCTCTTACAATGAAGAACCCAACAATAATTGCCAAGTGTAAAACACTTCTAATTATTTATATTAGGTAAAAGGTCAAATTGAATTTAGCTAATAAATTATATCCCTGTGGAATTGACCTGTATGAAAAGGAATTCATCAGGAAGAAAACTGTTCTGATTCTCATTTTTTCCCTCCAGTGTTTAAAGAAATTGCAGATTAACCGTTTAGGGTCTGACATTGTCCCCTTGGCCCTGAATGTGCATACAGAGCTGCACACTGTACAGTGCCAGTGTATGGCCTGCATGCCTGCCTTCTGCTTGGAAATGCAGAGAATTCAGAGGAAAACAGTTTGTCTCAGAGATGATATTCCTTACTTTTCTCTTTCTTCATCTTCCTGTCTTTTCAGAATGAAATTCCACAATTAGTTGGTGAGATTTATCAGAATTTCTTTGTGGAAAGCAAAGAAATATCTGTGGAAAAATCACTTTACAAAGAAATCCAGCAGTGTCTTGTAGGAAACAAAGGTATTGAGGTATTCTGCAAAATCCAGGGAGATGTTTATGAGACCCTAAAGGACAGGTATTACCCTTCATTTATTGTCAGTGACCTGTATGAGAAATTGATGACAAAAGAGGAAGAAAAGCATGGCCCACGGTTGATTTCTGACAAGGATGAGATGGTAAGTCATTGAACTTTCTGCTTCCTTTTCGGTGGATGAGCTGTGAATATGATTAGGTGGGAGCATCGTGAATGAGCCACGTCTGATGTGCCTCACAGTCTTTTGATATGCAGGACCTTAAATAGTGTAAAAAGTAAACTTGCATTACCTTGTTGCTCTGGTGTGACTATTTTCTTCCCTCTTTGCTCTTCTGACCACCGTGGTGTACCACCTGCTGGTATGGAGTCAGAGGCCTCCCTGCCCTCTGCTTACACACACCCTCAGTTTGACTCCTGAAGAGCCAGGCAGAAAACTTGTGGGTGGAACATCTGTGGTTTAGACTAGTCAGCTTCTGAGCTTTCTACTGTAGTAGTTTTTCCTTAATGGAATCTGGTAGTTCGGAACAGTATTATAATGATCTCGACTCTATCATAGATAATAATTACTGACTATTCTGTCTTTATCAGATATGGTGATTCATGTGACCTTTTCCCCCAGGGCCAGGGAGGTGAGGCTGGTGAGGAATCTGTAAATGAAGGCACCAGAGGGATTAACGAACAAGCCAGTTTTGCTGTAAACAAACTGCGAGAACTAAATGATAAACTTGAATATAAAAGGCAAGCTCTAATCTCTATTCAAAGTGCACCAAAACCTGACAAGAAGGTAACTCTTGTTTTCAGAACAAAACTGAAAATTTCCATTTGTTTAATTTGATAAATAGTAGTTTTCAGTTTATGTTGAGAATGTCACAGCTTCTTTCAAAAGAATTTTAACTGTGAGCAAATTCCATTGTTGTTGTTATTACTATTTTGCTTCTAGTGTAGAATCAGAAAAAGGAGCCCTGGTGGTGCAGTGGTTAAGAGCTCAACTGCTAATCGAAAGGTCGGCAGTTCAAACTCACCAGCCGCTCCACGGGAGAAAGGTGTGGCAGTCTGCTTCCGTAAAGATTTACAGCTTTGGAAACCCCATGGGGCAGTTCTGCTCTGTCCTGTAGGGTCTCTATGAGTCTGAATCAACTCAGTGTCAATGGGTTGGGTTATAGAATTAGAAAAGCATTTGTTTTTTGTCTGTCATGATTTAGGGTTCTTTCCCAATCATCAGCTGTGAGTAACTTTGTTTCCTTTGTATCTGGCTTGCCTTACCTGCCTTTGGGGAAAGCAAGCAAAGTTTTTTTCTTGTGTCGAAGTCATTTCTGGAATTAAGTTAGATACTAAAGGACAGTCTTTTTTCTTCTTTTTTAAATGCCTTGAGTACAGCTTAGGGAACCTCACAGAATTATGCAAGAAATAAAATTTTTTACTAAAAACTAGCAGAATTTGAAAGTTTAAAAATGTGAACAACATCTTACTAATCATTGTTTCTCAAACCCGAGATGTGGTGTGGCTTTTTGCTTTGTGTCTGTGCCTCTTTGGAGTACAACAAGGAGGTGTGGGTGATGTTCCTGGGTCTGCCAAACTGGTCTCCTCTGGTACATTTTGAACATGTGTTTGAGGATTTCAAGCAGACCAACAGGAAAGCAACTTTAAATAAAACAATTTTAGTGATTTATAGAAATAGAAAAAACCAGTCCTCAACTTGACATGGAATGGCAAGAGGCCCCAGATAGCTAAAACAATGTTGAAAGAGAAGAACAAAGTAGGAGGACTCACACTCCCTAATTTTAAAACATACTATACAGCTACAGTAATCAAAACAGCCTGGTATTGGTGCAACAATAGACACTTAGCCCAATGGAATAGAATCGAGAGTCTAGAAATAAACCGACACATCTATGGTCAACTGATTTTTGACATGAGTGCTAAGTCCATTTGATGGGGAGAGAAGAGTCTCTTCAATAAATGGTGCTAGGAAAATTGGATTTCCACATACAGAAAAATGAAGCAGTATCTATGCCTCATACCATACACAAAAACAAAGTCAAGTGGATTAAGGACCTAAATGTGCAAACTAAAACCATAAAATTCTTAGAAGAAAAAACGAGCAGTGCTGCCAGTCCTGGCTTTAACAACGGATTATCTAATATAATAACGAAAGCACAAATAGCAAAAGACAAAATAAATAAATAGGACCTCATAAAAATTAAAAACTTTTGTTCATCAAAGACTTTACCAAAAAAGTGAAAAGACAAGGTGCCAACTGGGAGAATATCTTCAGAAACCATATATCTGATAAAAATCTAAATACCAAAATATGTATAAACCTTTGATAACTTAATAACAAAAACACAAATAACCCAGTCATAAAACAGAAGAAGGACTGGAATAGACATTTCACCAAATAGGACATTCAAATGGCCACCAAACACATGAAAAGATGCTCAACATCATTAGCCATCAGAGAGATGCAAATCAAAACAGTAATGAGATACCATTTCACTTCCACTAGGATGGCTAAGATTAAAAAAAACAAATGTTGGCCAGGATGTGGGGAAATTGGAACCCTTACCCATTGCTGGTGGGAATGCAAAATAGTATAGCCTTTGTGGGAAACAGTGTGGTGGTTCCTCAAAAAACTAAAAATAGAACTACCATATGACCCAGCAGTTCCACTTCTAGGTATATATGCAAAAGACTTGAAAGCAGAAACTCAAGAAGAGACTTGTACATCAGTCTTCATTGCAGGACTGGTCACAATAACCAAAAGGTAGAAACAACCTAAATGTCCATCAGCAGATGAATGGATAAAGAAAATATGGCACATACGTACGGTGGAATACTACTCAGCCAGTAGGAGAAATGAAGTCTTGATACATGCTACAGTATGGATGGAGCTGCAAGATATACTGAGTGAAATATGTCAATAACAAAAGGACAAATATTGTATGACTTGACTTGCATAAAAAGACAAGAAAAGGAAAACGTATAGAGAATAAAGTTTATTAGTGGTTATCAGGGTGGGAGGGAGGGTTAACAGTGATGGAAATATCGCATGAAGAGTAGGGTTGCACAGCCGATGACTGTAATTGCTGTCAATAAATCGTACACCTGTAAAAAGTTGAATTGGCAAAGTTGTGTGATAGATAATCGTATATACAATGACAAAAAAAGTAAGAAAAAGAACAGCCGCTGAGGCTGCTTATGTACAACCAAACACCTCCTGGAGTTTGGTTTCTTGGTTTGTAAGTTTAGACTCATGGTTTCATGGGAAATCCCAGTTAATTGCCCCAGTAGCATGTATAGTGCTTCTGTTCTACCGCCTATTTCGTTGCATAGTGCTTGGGGTCTTAAAACCTTGCAAACAGCCATCCAAGGCACCATAATCGGTCTCTATTTGCCTGGAACAACAGAGGAAGAAGAGAGGAATAGGAGGAGGCTATGGAGTGTGTATCTAATTGCCTCCGTGGACAACTGTCTCTTTTGCCATGAGACCAGAAGAACTGGATGGTGCCTGGCTACGATTACTGAGTATTTTGATCAAAGATTCTGTCGAAGAATCCTAATCAAAAGGAGGAAAGTGCAGAACAGAATTTCAAATTTTCATGGACTCCAGCTTCCTGAAGCCATGAAGTTGGACAAAACCCTGAAACTATTGCCCTGAGATAATCTTTAAACCTTACACCAAAAATAGTTTAGCTTAACTAGTAAAAAATGTCCACCCTGAGCATTATGCTCTTTTAAGAACTATCTATATGGGATCAAATTGACAACACCAATTCAAAAGATTAGATAGGAACCTTAGGGGGCAGTGAATTCATGTTAATTGGGGAGGAAGAACTCAGAAAGGGAAGGTGAGAATGGTCACACAACTCGAATATTATCAATGTCACTGAATGGTACATGTAGAAACTGTTTAATTGGTGTATATTTTACTGTGTATATCCTCAACAACAACAACAAAATATATAAAAAAAATTTTTCCATGAATAGTATTGGGTTTTCTGGGAACATGTACTCAGTCCTCTTGAGCCATCTTCAGGACTTCCTTTGTGGACATTCAAATATGTCTGTAGTAGTAGAATATGCCTAAAATGAGATGTAAGAAAACCAACTTACTGTGAGCCATAAAGATTTACAACTTTTAGTCAAAATACCTATTCATTTATAAATAACCCAGTTACGGTCTAGTTAAATCAGTGGGTTTTTTTTTTTGAAAAAGACAAAAATGAAGAAGAAAGTCTGGCAAAGGCATGTGATACTTGTTAGTACTTATCTTACTATGAAAATCCTGGTGGTGTAGTGGTTAAGTGCTATGGCTGCTAACAAAAAGGTCGTTAGTTCGAATCCACCAGATGCTGCTTGGAAATTCTATGGGGCAGTTCTACTGTGTCCTATAGGGTCGCTATGAGTTGGAATCGACAGGAGAGCAACGGGCTTGGTTTACGGTTTGGTATCTTACTATAGAATTGGAAAGAATTCTATATATTCCTTTCTGTATAAAAGCAAGTTACGTGTGAAAGTTACTTTGGTAATCATTAGTGGTACCCTTCGTGGGCTGTCATGAGAAAAAGGTTCATTCTTCCCCTCACATGAGTCATTCCTAGTTATTAAATATAGAACTCGGAAAGCACTCTAGCCTCCCAGATGAAAAGATCAGCTTGGAGACGCTAAATAGAATTAGCTGGAGGGTAGATAACCGGTGTCTGCAGTCAAGTATGTACTTAAGAATAGTGTTTCGCTTGTTCAGGATCCATCCCATCATAAAGTGTATTTGTGGGTGATGGTATGAAAGATGAGTTAGAAACGACTCACTGAGTTATTTTCTGTTCAGTTCATCGTTAGTTTAAAAGCCATTCTTCAGAAGAACTTCTAACAACTATGGAGTGAAACATTCCAAAGTATAATTCTGTGAAAGAATTTTCAAGAAATTTGGAGAGATTGACTAATATTTAGCCTTAAATTGAACACAAATCTTTGATTATAGCTGAGGCAATCTACATTTGATGTTAAGTCACATGGTCCACAGGCTGCTCAGGGGCGCACTCTGCTTCTGGCAGGTGTGTACAGGGCTCAGAGGGACCTGGTGCCGCCCTCCAGGAGAGACCTCTTCCTTTGGTAGTCTTTCATTCATGTTGGTAAAAATAAAATAGTATATCCAACGTTTGGTTAAGTTTCTTAAAAACTTAAGTCCAGATTCATGTTTAAAAGGTTTGGGTAATGTAGCAGTTAACATCCACCAAAAAAATCCCATTACAGAGGACTTTTCTGGATTAAGTATCTAGTTACGAATCAGATCATTTTCCTGTGTGTCCACAGTAGTGCAGGCTCTTTCTTCTTCCACAGGAAAGAGAGCCGAGGGCTTGCTTAACCACCCCTCACCTTTCACACGTCTCTGCACCAGCTGTGTCGTTTGCTACTGGTGTGAAGTTACCATTTTAGTTTGATTTTCTGAAATTACTTTCCAGGGTTGGTTGGTTTGTTTCCCTCTCTACAGAGGTGTTGTAAGTCCAGAGCAAACTGGCCAATTTTAGGTTAATATTAGGAGTAAGTCATTAGCCAGGCAGAGTCTCAGACACGTAAAGTGACGATTAAATGCGTGACACTGTGCCAGTCACTGCAGATGCCATGGAACAGAGTCTGGCACCTGCCCTCAGGGAGCGGATGTGCTGAACAAAAGCCTAGTGTCATGAGAAGAAACCTGTTGGTAGTAGGTTGCTGGACGAGGGCACAGGCATGCTTTCCAGGGAAGCAGGAGCCTGTAGCCTTGTAGAGGGACAGTAGACTTAGGGCAGAGCTGCAGTCCTCAGACTGTAGAGGTACACAACCCTGTAGTTTTTTCCTCACAAAAGAAATCAAAGCAAATGGTGAGCATGGCATTTTAAGTGGTTTTGTAACTCCCAGGATGTTTTCCCTGTGGCAGATTGTTTCCAAGTTGAAGGATGAAATAATTCTGATGGAGAAGGAACGCACGGACCTTCAGCTGCACATGGCAAGAACAGATTGGTGGTGCGAGCACCTCGGCATGTGGAAAGCCTCCATCACCAGTGGTGAGGTGGGAGCAACTGCTTTCCTCTGAATTTATTTTTAAAGTTTGAATTTATAAGACAAAAATTTTGTCCTGGATAATTAAGACTGAGGATAGACAACATGTATTCATTCTTTTAGACCACATTGTCCTCCTCCCCTCCCCCAGTATTATTAGTATGATTCACCCATGGACTGTACTAGGCTTCCTGGTGTAGATCTGCTCTCACACCACTTCATATAGAAAGTTATCACTGTGTATTGGAATTATGAGCAACTTTGAGATAGGGACAATTAATGTCCTTGACTTTATTTTTCCACTGAGGCTTGGAATAAAGTTGAAAGCACTTCTTGAAATTTAGAGATGAAAAATGAAAAATGTAGGTGTTTCTGATTGTTTTGCCTTGCTGTGATTTCAGTTGCTCAAAATCCAGTATCTCTAGGGTCTTCAATAATGAATATATTGTTTTCCTTTAAATTAGAAAATCTTTCGCCATTCTTTGAGGGGTGTAGGATAACAATTTTCAGAATATGCTGTATCCCTTTTCTTTAGTCTGTAAAAATAATTTCATTTAGGAAGAAAGGCGCTTATAGGGATTTACATTGTTACTGCTGACACTTCTTCTCCCACTGCCCTACTATCAGTCATGAGGAGACTGGAGATAAAAGTCATGTCCACCATATAACACAAAAAATAAGATCCTGAGCAAGGCAGTTGTAATGTTTTGCCTTGTTATTGTTTCAAATGGCTGATCAAATAAACTCAATACCTGAGATTTGCAAGGGCCCATCTACCCAAATTACCTTTGTGCATCCCTGCCTTTCCCTTCAACCCAATGACTTGACACACTTATTGGGCTTAAAATTCACAACCTTAAATTTACCTCTGGATTAAACAGCAAAACAAAGCAAGTTCTCCACGAGCTACCCTAAAAGTATAAACCCCACCTGGGAGCTTAACTAAGTACTCTTAGCATGTTGTTGACACTTGGGTGGCACTTGTTAAGCTAAGCTGCAGGACAGTGTACCTTTTGGGGGGGAAATTGGAGCAGTGGATCAGGGAGGGTTGCCCTCGCCTTGATGGGCCTGAGAGGAACCCGTGATAATGCAGATGGAGTTGTCTTTCAGGTGGAAGTCTAGGAAGGAGGCAGGTTCAAAGCTATGTGATGTCAAAAGATAGTAGAAGAGGCCTGTGAGAGGGAAGTCACACAAACTCTTGTCACCTCCTCAGTCTTGGCTAGAGCTGCCCCTGACGTTTCACAGTTTGTGAAAGTCATATTCCAAAGGCAAATGTTAAAAAAGGAAGGAAAGGCCTCGCTGGGGCACTTTGCTCTGATAATCAGCTGTTGCTCAGGAGCTTGCTGTGGTACCTGGGTCACTGGAAAGGTCAAGGAATGGAAACAGAGGAGCCACCAGCTGCCAGAGTTCACAAAGCAGCCCCTAGGGAGTGTGTGCTGGGCGTGTTGACATCACATCACCCGGACTTCTGACCCGGACCGACCCGCTTCCTAGACGTGTGATCCTGGAGAAGTCGGTTAGCTGCCTGTGGCTCTGCTCCCATTTCTACCGCGGGGTAGTAGTCCTGCCTGGCTGGGCTCAGCAGGGCACTCAGCACGTCTCTTTTCTTATTGATGTGCTCTAATCCCGTTTATGATACCAATTCAAACTCACATTCCGTGTCTTCTCTCTTTGTTTGTTCTCTATTCATTGATGTTGAGAATAATAGTGGCCTATGGTGTATTGGGAGCCTTGGTGGCACCAGTAGTTAAGAGCTCAGCTGCTAAGCAAAAGGTTGACAGTTTGAATCCACCAGCTGCTCCTTGGAAACCCTATGAGGCAGTTCTGCTCTGTCCTGTAGGGTCACTATGAGTCAGAATCACTTTGACAGCAACGAGGTTTCTTTTTTTTTTATTGATGAATTACCGTTGTGTGTGTGTAGGTGTGAATAGTCTTAAGTTAGAAAGTAGCAGAAATTATATCTCCCAATGAAGATTCCATGAGACTAGACTTGATGGTTTGTTGAGTCCTGAAATTAAACTGGGGAGGCTCTCAGCCTTCTCTGAGAGGGATTCTGGTATAGCTGGCAGCTGTTTCCTCGCTGTTCGTTTGTTGGTTTTTTCAAGGAAATGCAGCTAGGATTTTAAGTTGGCTGTGTTAGTTTTCTGTGCTGTGTAACGAACCACCATTGAAACTGTGTGGCTTAAAACAGCACCCCTTTATTAGTCGTAGTCTGTAGATCAGAAGCCCAGTGTGGTGTGGTTAGGTTCTTTGCTCCATGTATCACAAGGCTGAAGTCAAGATGTTGAGGAGGCAGCTGAGTGCTTGTCGGGAAGCCCTGGAGAAAAGTCCATTTCCAAGCTCATTCAGGGTGTTGACAGAATTCAGTTGTAGGACTGAGGTCCCTGTTTTCTTATTGGCTGTTGACTGGGGGGTCACTCTGAGCTCCTGGAAGTCTTCTCAGGTCCTTTCCATGTGTCCCCCTCCATCTTGAGCCAGCAACAGCATGTCAAATCCTTATGCTTCGAATTTCTCTGACTTCGTCTCTGCTTTTAAAGGGCTGTGTGATTCGATTAGGCCGCCCAGCTAATCTCCCTATTTTATGGTCAGCTGTGCCATATAATGTAAACTAATTACTGGGATAAAATACGTCATATTCACAGCCTTGGGAATTATGCAGCGCAGGTTCGCGGGCAGGGGGTCTGGGGACCTTTGTAATTCTGCCTGCCACATCGACTCACCCCGCTCTTTGTTGTTGGTGTTTTCAAGGTTACAGAAGAGAATGGCGAGCAGATGCCCTGTTACTTCGTCATGGTAAGCTTACAAGAAGCTGGCGGAGTTGGAGCTAAGAACTGGACAGTCCCCAGAAGGCTCAGCGAGTTTCAGAATTTACACCGGAAACTTAGTGAGGTATGCATACTTGTGAACACAAGAGTCTATAGTGACTGAGCAAGAAGAGATTCAGTATCTCTTTTACAGATAAGGAAACTACAGATCAGGAAACTGATTAATCTTTTTCTTTTTCTTTTTTTGGTGATATGGCAAAATGGCATTTTCAGCCTGACATTTGGGAATTTACTCATAGATCATCTGGTCTGGCCTGGGTCCTTGAGGACAGATAATTGTCTGATCCTCACTATAAATTGCAAGAGAATTCCAGCGCTGGTGGGGACCTGTGGGTTCATCTGGGGCCAGTGGTTTTGAAGCTGCCAGATGTGACCCATCGGTGAGTGGTGAAATCGGTTATAGGTTACACCAGTGAAAAGAGAACAGAATATATTGGGGAACATCATGTGTAGTCAGGGAAGCAGCAGAAGGTGGCGGTGCAAAACCCAGTCTCCAGAGCCAGATTGTTGGCGTTTGCATCCCAGCTGTGCACTTACTAGCTGTGCAGCTGGGGACTTGTCACTCGGTCACTTTGTACTTCAGTTTTCTGCCCCACCTAATGCGTGGCTTTGTGAGAATCAAGGGAGTAAGTATACGCAGTGTTTAAAAGAGTGTGTGGCCCATGGTAACATTATTGTGGTGGTGGCTGTTATTACTAGTAGCAGATTACTAGTAGTGGTGTGGTGGTAATGGCAGTAAGAACTGTTCTGTGACCTTTCAATTGTATATGTGTGTATGTACTATATATATGGATGTGTAAGTGTGCCTGTGGATTATGGGTTGTCATGTAAAATGTGTTTCCTAATGTTGGTTTTTGTTAAAAACGTTTAGAAGCCACTAATGTAGGTCAATCCTTTTATCTGATACACGAGGGAAACTGATCCCATAGAGCTTAATTGACTTGTCATAGGACACAGTGGCCAAACCAGAATTAGAATGCCATTACCTTACTTTCAATTCATTATTCTTCCCACTTTTCCTGAGAAGCTGCATCTTCTCTAACTCTCCTTCCGTTGAAGGTAACTTCCCTTTACCCCAGCAGTTAAGAAGTTCTTCAGTCACTTTAGTTTAGGTCTGTTTTCCTGTTGCCCAGAATGAACTGACACTGGTAAACCTGTGGTCACCCCTCAGACCCTCCTTTTGAAAATGATACATCTGTATTTCCTTTAACCTTGTCTCCAAGGGGCATTTTTAAACTCTTTTAATCACTGACTCCTGAATGGTATAACTTCAGCTCCTTTTAAAAAGATGGTGGCCAAAACTGACTGTGGACTACAGTGTTTCTCAAATAGACGCTGGTCACCACAGCAGTGTGTGAAAAATGCTCATCGTATACAGGAGTAAAATGTTCCCAAAATTGTTGAGTAACGTTGACACTCCAGGAAGACGTGCTGTTTAACCTGTGACAATCCATTGTGAACCCAAAGTTTAGCATCAGTCTAAACTTACTGATTAAAAACAGAAGGAAAGAGGAAAAGGAATTTGGGGAGATTTTGAAATAAAATGTACTTAGAAAGTAAAAAAAAATAATTACACTGAAGTAGTAGAAGAAACAAACGTTCACATAAAGCGCGCGTGTGCACACGGGCACACGCACGCACGCAGGAAACAAACCTGGTAAAATTCCGTGTCTGTCTAACCACCCTGTTGTCATCCTCTCCTCATCTGTGGGCCGTTACTGGCTCTTCCCTGACCTTCGTCTGGTTCCTATCGTGTGTGTTTTCATCTTTTGAAAGAACCTTCCTGTGGACATCTGTGACAGGAAGCACCCTTCAGGTCCCTGGCGATTTCAACTTTCTCTTCCAGCTCTCACTGCCTGTTTCATTTCTCTAAAATTTTACCTCAGTTGGAGTCCTGACTTGCAGCCTTCCTGGGCGAATGCCGGTGTACTCGTGATGGCCTGTATAGAAAGGCCAGTTTTCCATTGTCCTTTTCGACCGCCAAAGCCCTTAGATGCACTTGTTACTGTTGTTACTTGGAGCTCATTGCGTGCCGTCGTCCCTTGCTGCGGCCAGACTGGCAGGGGGCTGCGGTGACCCTCTGTGCACTGACGACCACAGACTAACAGCTGTGGCAGCACACCGTGTGCCCGTTTGCTTTTCAGTACCAGTCCGTTTCAGCAAACATTTCAAGTGGCCCCAGGGCCTTCATGAAGGCCAGTGTTTGGAAATGAGCATTCTCCTCTCAGTGTCTAGGGGCAGACTGGCAGAGTCTCGTGGGCATTGGCATAAGGTCAGATGGACCTGGGTTTTAATCCTGAGCTTTAAATTTCTCATGTGTAAAATAGGCTTGATAATAGTCCCCAGCTCATAGGACTTGTAAGGGTGAAATAACACAGGCCAAGCCTTCAGCGCACCGCCTGGCGGCAGGCAGGACTTCGTCCACAAAGGGTGGCCTGTCGTTACTCGTGAGTAATATATTCTATTATTATTGTTAGATTTGTATTATCTAATTTATGATTGGAAGGCATCAATATAGCTACAAGTCCAGTTATTCTTGCCATTGTTTCTTTTGCCAACTTTGATAACTTTTTACAGAGATGTTATAAGCAAAACATGTTGTAACAGAAATATTTTCTTCCTGTAACACAGGTTTTCACGTCTCCCGTCTTGTGCTGCAGTTGTGTGTTGTGTAAACCCATCTTATCAGCCTACTTTCATGATTTCCCAGCTTTCAGGCATTTGTAGGCCTGGGATGAGTTGTGGCTTTTTCCTATCAAATGTCCTGTTTCTCCAGATTCTTTGAGCCTGATTAGTATGGATAGGTTTCCAGGTTTTAAATCTCAAAGGAACAAGTAGAGGAGGAAGAGATTTGGTGTGTTCTAATAATAACGACCCTCTACTTTATCAAGCATGAAGTCCTTCTCCAGGGACTGGTCCCTTCTGATAACATCTCCAAAGTAAGTGAGACAAAGTCTTGCCATCCTCGCTTCTAAGGAGCATTCTGGCTTTACTTCTTCCAAGAGAGATTTGTTCATTTTTCTGGAAGTCCATAGTGTATTCAGTACTCTTCGCCAACACCATAATTCAAATGCATCAGTTCTTCTTCAGTCTTCCGTTTCCATTTCAGTAGAGGGTCAGGGAAAAAGAGGACAACCTTCTACGAGATAGATTGCCACAGTGGCTTCAGCAGGGGGCTCAGACACACCTATTCTTGTGAGGACGGTGCAGGACCGAGCAGTGTTTCACTCTGTTAATATGTGGGGTTGCTATGAGTCAGAGCCGACTCAAAGGCACCTAACAACAACAACAATTATAGCGATTTTTTTTTAAAGATTAAAATATAATTTCAAAATACTAACATTTAATTTTTCCCTCCCACAGTGTTTTCCTGCTTTAAAAAAAGTCCAGTTGCCTTCTCTTAGCAAGCTGCCTTTCAAATCTGTTGATCAAAAGTTTATGGAGAAGTCAAAGAATCAATTAAATAAGTTTTTACAGGTAAGCAAGTGAAAAGTTTTGGCTATGAGAGGAAAAATTATTTATGTTGAGTTAAACTGTCATCATCCTAAGAGCTTGCTGGTTTGTTTCCTGTTCTCATGGTTCATGCTGAATCCTTAAAATACTTGGTCTTTTTTTTTTTTTTTAACTTTTTATTGAAATATAATGTACATACCGAAAAGTGTACATAAGTATACAGCTTTCTCCATTTTCATGAACTAAATGCAGCTAGTCCGAGAAACAGAATATCGCCAGGACCCTCCAGCTCCCTTCCCGTCACTGCCCCCCCACAGGTAGCCACAGTCCGACTTCTCACAGCAGCAGTTCATTGCGTTGTTTTTCTACTCCATCAATGTGGACTCTTCTGTCCGACTTCTTTCACTCAATTTATGTTCACAAGATTCATCCTTCAGCTTGTTGAGTTGTAGGTCATTCATTTTCCTTGTTGGGTTGGTTTTTCATTTTATGAATATGCTACAGTTTCTTTGTTCTACCGTGGATGGGCATTTGGATAATTTCCGTTTTGAGGCTGTTACGAAGAGCGTGTCTGTAAACCTTCTCGTGCTTGTGTTTTGGTGAATACATGTTGAGTGTACACCTAGGGGGTGGGATTGCTGGGTTGTACGATAGGCGTGTGTTCACCTTTAGCACACGCTGCCCAGGTGGTTCTGGAAATGTTTACAGTCTCGCCAGCAGTGTTTACAGGTTCTCATTGCTCCACATCCTCAACCAACACTTATCTTCTTCTTAGTCGTTCTGGTGGGTAGAGTATCTCGTTGTGATTTTAATTTGATTTGCATTTCACTGGGGCCCTGGTGGCCCAGTACTTAAGAACTTGGCTGCTAACCAAAAGGTCGGCAGTTCAACACTAGCCTCTCCTTGGAAGCCCTGTGGGGCAGCACTGCTCTGTCCCATAGGGTCACTGTGAGTCGGAATCGACTCGACGGCAACGGGTTTGTTTGTTTTAGTGGCTAATGAGGTTGAGCACCCTCCCGTGTGTTTATTGGCCATTTGGAGAGTTTCTCTGGTGAAGCGGCTGCTCAGACCGCATCTCCTTCTCTATTGTATTACTTGTATTTTCCATAGTGATGTGCGGTTCAGTTTGTCTTTTGGGTATAAGCTCCTTGTCAAACCATACGAGTTATGAATATCTTCTGTCTCTCTCTGTAGAGCGCCTTTTCACTCTCTTAACAGTTTCTTTTAATGAATAGAAATTCTCCAGTTTAATTTAGTCCAGTTTATTAATTTTTTTTCTTTTATGGTTAATACCTTTTTTGCCTGTTAAGAAATCTTTGCCTACTCCAAGGTCCTGAAGATATTCTCCTAATTTCCTCTAAACACTTTATTGTTTTCCTTTACTATGTTTTTCTTGTTTTGTTTTTAAAGGAAAAAGCTGGCCAAGGGAAGGCTGTTCGCAGTTGCAGTCACTATTTACATTTTCCTTAGCTGGGCCATCTGTATCCCAGGTATAGCTGAGTCACTCAGACCATGGACCCTGAAGCCCTTAGAGTTCTCAGAGCCATCAAACTTTGCCTTGTAACACACGTTTTGCCTATGCAGTAGTGGCTAGAAGTACTGAGACTTTTAATAATGGATGTTGACAAATTTTTAATAGATATCTTTAAAATATAACCATTGAATCAGAAGTATAGGTCATAATTAAAAATGATACACTTAAGCCAAAGTTGCCTAGAAAGTGTTAGTCTCTCTTGTCTTTCATTCGCTCATGTATTCGTGTGTGTGTGTGTGAATATATAAAATACTTTCCCTTAAGAAATAAAATAATTGAACCTTAGAAAAACTTTCTGAGCTTTATTATGGCAGAACAGGGTAGAAGATCATTAATATTTAAATATTTTTCTGAGAGAGAATTTAAGACCATAATATTACCAATGTTGCTGATTCAGAATGTCTAGGAAATACTAAATGCACTTAGCATATACTGGTGGTTAAATCATTCAAATGACTTTAAGGTCTTGTTTGTGACATGATTATGTGTGGAACAAAGAACTCGATGTGGCCTTTGTCTTTGGTTCCTGAAAGCCCTTGGAATTCCTCAGCAATAGAGACATCTTTGTCTTCTAAGACAACTAGGCAACACATAAATTTGTGCAAACGAGTGGGGGCTGCTCAGACTGCACCTGGCAGCTCACCTCAGGAAAGGAGGGGCCATAACTCAATCACGCTCATTCAGTGATTCAGTGGATCATGACTACGCAATGAAACCAGTAACAGGCTTTGAGCATGGAAGTTTAGATTGGTAAGAACATCTGCTTTTGGGAGGGTAGTGCATCCCTGGGAACAATGGAAGCCCCCTGCCAGGACCCCCACCTGAAGCATCCTCACGTGATGAGTCTCTTCATTTGTATCTTTTCTGATTATAATAAATAGGTAACTGCAAGTATAGGCAGTCTGCAGGAATTCTGTGAGCCTTTCTAGAGAATTAACGAACCCACGGGGGAAAATGAAAGCCAGCAGGGGCCTGGATCTGCCTATTTGGCAGTTGGAAGGACACAGTCCGTCTAACTTGTGGACTCTGCCTTCGCTTGGGGTGGCTAATTCGGGAAGGGCTAACAGGCAGTTGATTTGAAGGACAGAATCCTTCTAGCTTGTTTGTTTTGTTCTGGTTCAGGGCAGCCAGAGATGAGATAGTGTGCCGCAGGTGGCTGGCTACAAGTGTAGTGGAGGGTATGGAGCTGGGGGAAGGTGAGGACTGGATCCGTTTCTGGGTGGGAATTGGATGCGTGCTGATCTTTGCCACGAAGGTAGCAGTGAAGGTGGGATTTGCCCCCTTTGCCCCTTCCTTAGTGTTGTAATATGTGTTATTACAGCACTAAGCCCCCAGGTATTCAGCTTTGAAATCCTCTGGCTGATTCTTTGGTTTTCTTCCAGACCGTGGGAGGGTCTCAGTTTGGCCCTCCCAGCCCTTCTGACAATTTGCCCGATGTGCTGTAGAAATGGTGCTTAAGTTCCGCACTTGCGGGGATGCAGAGGGAGTTTTGTATGTGCCTCACTGGACTGTGGGGATGGAAATGGGTTAGTGAGTTCTGCTGTTGTGCCAAGAGAATCGTGTACTCTGGAGCACTGCTGGTAGGTGGTGTAGGCGTGGCTAAGGGCAGGAGATCTGCACTACATCCCGGGAAACTGATCTCATGTGGCCATATGTCTTTTAATCCAAAAGATTTTAAGTCAGAGGAAATCATAGCTTAAATTGTTTTTCATCTTGTCAAAGACTTTATTTGAAAGTGCTAACCATTTCGTATATATAGCTAGGCTACCGAGCAGACTGAATGCAGTTTCAGAAATATCAACCCACGGACTACAGCAGGAAGAGCAAGATGCAAAATGGTTAGTCTGTAAGGCAGATATTATTAGGGCCATAAGACCATCCAGAGAAGGATTCCATTGAATGTTTTTTCGTTGTTTGCTGTCTTTGAGATGACTCTGTCACGTGGTGACCTCATGTACCTCAGCTTAAAAGTTATAGAATCCCAGTTATTTCTTGTTTCTTAGACATTATCTTTGATGATATATTTCTAATATTTCTTGCATATTTAATTTTACTTTCCTTCATAATAGAATATAATTTATGCCAAAGATTTGTCACCCTTAATGATTTATTTGTATTGGTCATATTAAGTTTGAGACTTATCATTAGTATGATTTTCTACTATTTTATAAAATAATGTTGGTGTGTGGTGTACCCTGTTGAACCGAAGATTTAAAATTCTGAAGAAAGAGTAAAGGCCTGTTGATTGGGGACAGGGGACAGGGAAGGCAGTAGTGGCCCTGACTGCCCATCCCCCTTAACTTCCTTCCCGACACCTGAGGCAGGACCTGCCTGCGGTCAGACCACTCTGCGGCAGGGCATGAAGCTGGCACTGTCCCTGGATCCCTGGTCCCCTGAGGCAGGACCTGCCTGCGGTCAGACCACTCTGCTGTATGTCATGAAGCTGGTACTGTCCTTGGATCCCTGATCCCCTGAGGCAGGACCTGCCTGCAGTCAGACCACTCTGCGGCAGGGCATGAAGCTGGCGCTGTCCCTGGATCCCCGGTCCCCTGAGGCAGGACCTGCCTGCAGTCAGACCACTCTGCTGTATGTCATGAAGCTGGTACTGTCCTTGGATCCCTGATCCCCTGAGGCAGGACCTGCCCACTGTCAGACCACTCTGCTGCATGGCATGAAGCTGGCACTGTCCCTGGATCCCTGGTCCCTGAGTAGCAGTACCAGGCCCTCTCAAGGTTGCTAGTTGTAGACAGGGTCTTAGGGTTAGTCAGACTTCAGTCTTTGTCTGAACAAATAGGATGTGAACTTGTGGGGCTAGAACTTCACTACCACCTCAGCTTACGTCATCAGCAGTGGAGGCTGCTGCTTGCTGTTCCGTTTCCCCCAAGGGGGTTACATCCTAAGTGGGGAGCAAGTTCCCATTGGTTTATTTGTTCCTGCGCTCTTAGAATGCTAGGCACCAAAACATTCCAGGGTCACATTGTTAATCTCACTGTCTTACCCTAGCAGTTGCTTGTACGTAAACAAACTTGATTTATGTTCTCCTTTCTTCACTTCTAAGGCTAGATAAGCATATACAGAACTTTAGGAAATTTTCAGTTTATGGGCCAATAACAGCAGTTGTATAATTATGTAAACAAGCACTTCTTGGAAAGTGGCAGCACAGTGAAGTTAAACTGTGTCCTGCAGGCAGTCACCATGTGATAACTCAGCGTTCTTTTTTCAGCTGATGTACATAGCCTGATCGTAGCCATGAAAGGGTGGTTTAGTGGTGTCCATGTGGGATGTGCAAAAGTTAAGTTGTTCAGACATAAATGAGTGAAAGTTAAGTTGACTTTCAAAGGTGGTGCCCCTGGGAGGTAAGCTGTGTGCAAAGTAAGAATTTTTTTATTGCATGAACTGGAACAAGTAAGAATTGTTCAAACTGGAGTGAGTTCTGTTGTCTGTACAATACTCCCCACAAGCAGAGTGGTTAGGACACTGTCAGTTAACCTGGAGAGGACTGTTTGCCATTAAAATCTTTGAGAGTTGATCCTATATGTTTTATTTCAGGGGAAAAGAAAACGATTTTAGGTTCAGAATTATGATGAAAGTAAATGCCCCAACACAGTCAATTCTACCTTGTTTGCCTATACTTGGAGCCCTGGTCGCACAGTGGTTAAGAGCTACGGCTGCTAACCAAAAGGTCGGCAGTTGGAATCCACCAGCCACTCCTTGAAAACCCTACGGGACAGTTCTACTCTGTCCTCTAGGGTCACTCTGAGTCGGAATCGACTTGACGGTAGCAGGTTTGGTTTTGGGTTTTGGTGCGTTTACTTGTAGTGGCTCCTGCGAGCATGGATACGTTCCTACTGAGGGATGATTAATCCTCTTTCTTTCACAGAATCTACTTTCAGATGAAAGGCTGTGTCAGAGTGAAGCACTTTATGCCTTTTTGAGCCCTTCTCCTGACTACCTCAAGGTCATTGACGTGCAGGGGAAAAAACCCACTTTTTCATTAGCCTCATTTTTGGAGAGACTTCCTCGTGACTTTTTCTCCCACCAGGAGGTGAGTCATTTAAAGGTTGTGCCAATTTTGTAATATATTTTACTGGATGTCTTTTTGAAGGCTGTTTGAAGTAACAGATTTGTTGAAAGAATGCTACTAATGGGGGAAAAAAGCAAATATGTCTATTTTCAGTGATTATCACTGTCCTATTTTGGGGCACCTGCTTGTCCTCCCCACAAGCCACTTGGAAGAGATAAGATACAGCAGTGAAAGGCTTGGTAGGAAGGTGGGAAGGTGAAACGGGGAGTTCTGTAGGAGCCCCTCTAAGAGAAAGAACCCCTGGGATGAGGAGGCAGGGTGAGAATACTCTTTACGGACGCGTAGGAGCCCCCCTAGGAGAGAGCACCCTTGAGGTGGGGAAGCAGGGTGAAGACACTCTTTACAGATGAGTAGGAGGCCCCTAGGAGAGAGCACCCCTGGGGTGGGGAAGCAGGGTGAGGACACGCTTTATGGACGAGTAGGAGCCCCCCTAGGAGAGAGCACCCCTGGGATGAGGAAGCAGGGTGAGGACACTCTTTACGGACAAGTAGGAGCCCCCCCTAGGAGAGAGCACCCCTGGGATGAGGAAGCAGGGTGAGGATGCTTTTTATGGACGAGTAGCAGCCAGGATTGAGGTTCAGGGATCAGAAGGGTGTGTTTGGAACAGTCAGTATGTCGTTTGAGCAGAGGGAGGACTTCTGTGGTGTCTGATGGAAGATGAGGCCAAGGGTAGAAGGAAGGGGCGGAGTCGTCGAAGGCCTGGAATGCCATGCTGAGGAGTTCAGACTCCATCCTTTGGGAATGGTGAGCCGTGGAATGTTTTTGAAGCAAGATGACTGTAGCAATTATGGCTATAGGTAAAACAGTGACTCAAGAGAGACTTCAGATGTTTGTGATCTTTTATTTTGGGCTTCAGGCCAAATTAATTTAAGTCACTGGAGCTCCTTTCTTTGCTCTCTAGCAAATTTCACAAGAACGTCTCCAAAATTTGGCGTCTTCTTAGTCCATTCCCAAATGCCACTGCCCTTACTCGCATTCTTCAACAGGATTAGTTTAATGAGTTTGGATAGATGGAGATGAAAAGGAGCTTCCTACTTTCCTGCACCCTGGGCTGGGGGAGAAATCAGTGTAGACCACATAACATGCTCACACCTACGTTCAGGTCGATGGTAAACCAGCTTCCCTGCCAAGCTTCTGTCCCATGTCTTTGGTTTCATGGCCATCCATGCCGTGGCTGCTTACCTCCTTTATCCCTATTTCTCCCTGAACCCCTTGGGGTTTACATTATGGCCCAGTCACTGCTGAGATCACTTCTTGAAGCTGAGCGCCCGCGGCCACGTCCAGTGGTTTCCTCTCAGCCCTCGCCTTCCTCAACCTCTTTGAAGCGTTCGATGGAGCTGGGCTTCTGTGTGTTTTCAGAGCTCTCCTCCTGCTTCTGTGACTTCTCCTTAAGCCTTTCCTCAGCTCACCCAGTATAGCCTCCCCCCAGAGTCTTGTCAGGGCCCTCTGTTCTCGGTGCCGCCGCGCCAGCTTTACCTGATACAGACATTCGCACGACTTTCCTCAGCGGCCCTTCCACAGCCTCGTGTTTCCACCTCAGTGGTAGCCCTCCCTTCTGCCTGGTCACAGCAGCTGCTTGTGTGTTTGTGAGTCTGCCAGGTAGTCGTGGACCACTGAAAGTCTGGGTCCACATCACACTCGTTTGCGCCAGCTTGGTGCCTGGCACATCGTCCGTTCTGAACTGAACCATGCAGATCAGGAAGTGAGACTAGCTGAAGTGCTGAATAAAAAAGCTTGAGTCAGAACTTTGAAAATAGCTAAATTGCTTTCAAATGCACATGCTTAAAAAAAACAGTGAATTTAAAATCATTTAAGTTACAAAGCCTTTTAAACGTAAGATGATTAGAAAACAAATTTATCATCTATTAATTCACTGGTTAATATAATGACAGAGTTTTTAAAATTGGCTTATTTTAAAGTTTGAATCAGGCTTTTGAATCAAGCTTTTCCCTCAGGTTAGATGCATTCTGTCCTCCATGTTGAAAATAGATTTCTGCATGTGGGAAAGCTGAAGGGTTATGTGAGGCTAAAATAGGAGCAAGGAGTTTGGAATTTACTTTTTTTTTCCATTTTTTTAAAAAAATTACTTACTTTGTTTGGAATTTACTTTTGAAGAAGGAGAACAACTCTGCCTGTTTTCTTGGGTAAGCGGTTTGATTCCTGTGACTTTGCACACCCCCAGGAGGAGACAGAGGAGGACAGTGACCTGTCAGATTATGGCGATGACGTGGATGGGAAGAAGGACGCCTTGGCTGAACCATGTTTCATGTTGATTGGGGAGATTTTTGAACTTCGAGGAAGTAAGCTTCTTTGTTATGATTTAGTAACATTTGCTGATTCAGTGACACACACACACATACCTAATATCCCTTTATTCCTGAAATGAATCAGACATATATTTTTATTCGTTCATTCATTCATTAAACGAATATTTGTAAGGCCAGCCACATACTATGTTAGGAACCCAGCATGTGACCTTCAGACAGCCATGGCCTCTGTGCTCGCGGGGCTTCGGGTCCTGGTGTACCCAGCACCGTGTTCCACTGAATACAGAAGGACAGAAGTCATGACGTTTCTTCTTTGTGACTCAGCACATAAGAGTTTTATCATCGAAAGTTATGCAAAGCGTAATTTTGTGTAGCAGAGGAAGAACCCTGTTGTTGGAGGTGAGGTTTTGGTGTGCTGAGGAATGCCTCAGCCTGCTTTTCAGCCACCTTCGTTCCTAGAGCAGTGGTTCTCATTGCAGGGGGAGGGGAGGCAGGGATCGTTTGCCCCGCAGGGGCAGAGAGGCGAAGGTGCTACTGGTATCTAATGGGTGCACAGGACAGCTCCCTGCAAGAAAGAATTATCCTGCTCAAAATATCAGTGAGATGGCACTTAGAAGAAACAGTAGCAAAATGGGAACTGAAATACCATTTGTAAAGAGCTGCAAAAGTGCCTGGACTCCACCTCTAAAAGCAGCACTTTGGTGAAAGGTCAAATGGGAACACATGGTCCTCAATGGGGGTGTCTTCCTGTATCTCCCACAGCCATCCAAACTCTAAAGGTTGAGACTAGCATCCTATCTGGAGCCTAGAGATATGGCAGGTGCTGAAAGGCATACCCAGCCACCTAGAAGAGGAAGCGAATGAGAAGAGCAAGGATTTGCAAGGCACAGAAATGTCACCTACCAGCAAAGCGTTGCCCCATGAATGCCCTGGACTCTGTTCACTCAGATTAGCATCTTTCCCCTTAGGGGGAGGGACAGGCTGAGAGTTGTTCCCATGTGAGAAATGAGGCCGTAGAAGCATCCCTTCTTATTTGTCTATCCCTTAATGTGTCACTTGAAGAGTTATTAGCAGATGGAAAGATTTCAAGTGCTGTTATACACTTGCTGTGCTTGTCTTATGTGTCTGTAATCCTCAGTATATACTATAATGCCTGGCCTGTGGTAGGTGATCAATAAAATGCCTGGGCGGATGGGCTGACGAATGAATGGGTGAGAAAATTTTAAGTGCAGAAAGTAATTATCTTTGAACTTGAGTGAATTATCATTGAACTTTTTTTCCCCCTAAGCCAAAGCTAAGAGAATATATATCAATCAGCCAATAATTTTGGGGCATATGTTTTATATATATAGCCCTGTAGGGTAAACAAAAAATACATCACATGTAGGTTCTGCCTTCATTGAGTTTACAGTGTAAAGGCTTTACAGATGTATTCACACTGAGCAGTAGACAAAATTAAATTCTAGACTGCAGGCAAAGATTTATATGTAAGGATGTTCATTTTAGTGATAAAAAGTTGGAACTAAGCTAAACTTCAGAAATAGGAGGTAGTCACATTATTTAAGAAATATCCATATGATGGAATATTATCCAAATATTAAAAATCCTTTCAGATGTAGAAGTTGTAACCTTTTTATATTTTAGGCACTTGTTGTAGTATAAAAGAAAACAAACTGGTACTCCACCCAGAATCTGAATATGGTGGCTGACTCTCCTTAGTGAAATCTAGCCCATGAAATCATGAATCCTTCCAGTCTCCCGTAGAGTTGATACGGATGGGGACGCGTTGTCCTAGCCTTCGTCAGTGTGTTCTGCGTGATACGGAGATTAAGGGACGTGAGGACGTGCAGAGCCAGTCAGGGCAAGAGTCGGGCTCAGAAGCCTGCTCTGCAGCGTGTATGTCCTCCGTCATATTCCTGCTCAGACGCATATTTGGCTTTGCTAGTGACATTTCAGGAGGGAATAAATAGAACATCCTTTATAATGAGATGTGATACATTTGCCATCAGCAAAATCCTAGTTCTGCTGCAGCTGCCTCTGTTGAACAAGTGAGTCCTTGACAGGATGATGGGGCTCTTTTTTCCAATGTGTGTGGTGGGGCCGGGGAAGGATGGGAAAAAGCAGCAGAGTAAGGGGAGATCCAGGATGGCAGAGAATTTGCAGCAAAATCGTTTCTGGTTCCTGCCTGAGTCAGTCTGTAAAAGGACCAGTAGTACTGCCTTTCACGTAACCATTCACCGTCAGACATTTTTGCTGGGGCTGCTGCGTGTCCTCACCCCTCTGGGTGTGCCTGCCTCCCTGCTGCCCTAGCCAGAGTTCAGTTATCATCACGGCCTCCCTGGCTGCACGCCTCCCCAGGATAACAGCTCTGCATGCTGGCCGCGTGCTTCCGAAGTCCATCAGATGTCCCCAGATGTTCTTAGGTGTAGTTCTGGCACTGAAAGGAGCCCTGCTGCCACAGCAGTTAAAGCACTCAACTGCTAACTGAAAGGTCGGCAGTTGGAAACCACTAGTGGCTCTGCAGGAGAAAGAGGTGGCAGTCTGCTTCCGTAGAGATTTACAGCCGTGGAAACCCTATGGGGTTGCTGTGAGTCAGAATCCACTCGACGGCAGTGGGTTTGGTTTTGGTTGGTTTGACACTGAAGCTTGACTTTTGCTTGAAGGATTAATACCACAACCGTAACTGGACGTTTAGATCCATTTAAACCTTAGAAACGACTTCAGAATGTCTGAACCAAGGCTGTCTTGATGGTTGACTTCTGTCTGTGCAGCTCCCTTTGTACGGAAATGCTTGTGAATTTACTCTTCTATGTTTTCTTTCTGGCACAAGACCCCTGAACTCTTGGCTCCGTTATGGCCAAGTGTGAATCTCTCGTGTCAGTAGCCAAACATTTCAGTGAATGGAGGTGAATATATAAATGGAAATTTTGGGTTAAATTCCAGTTTGTGGGCCTACGACATACAGCACTTCTTGGCCTTCTTCGTCATATATGTTCATGTTCTGTACCTATAAAAATGTGTCTCCATGCTAATAATAAAAATTTAGATCTGTAGAACCCTTCACAAAGCCTTTTCACACACAGTATTGACAAGACCTCCAGAGCAAAAACAGCAAATGTTACTATCATCCTTTTCCAGATGAGGAAACTCAGGCTCAGAGAAGGTGATTTGAAGCCCTGGTGGCACAGTGGTCAAGCACTCAGCTGCTAACTGAAAGGTTGTGGGTTCGAATCCACCAGCCACTCCGTGGGAGAAGAATGTGGCAGTCTGCTTCTGTAAAGATTACAGCCTTGGAAACCCTGTGGGGCGGTTCTGTTCTGTTGTAGAGGGTCACTATGAGTCGGAGTCGACTCGATGGCAGTGATACATATACTATAGGAAGTGGTGCAGGAGAGTGTTCAGTTCACATCTGACTCAAGATCCTGGCTCTTTGCAATTCACCTTTCCTCCCCTAGAAGCATGAAATATACTTAAAAAGTACATGACGATCTGCAAACTACTACCCAAATGCAAGCACTTAGAGATGTCAGTTCATTAATATTTCAAAACATTTGTCGACATTTGTCTACAGGCGTTTCTCCTTTAGAGTAGTGTGTTAGAAAAGCGAGTTCCACAAGCTATCCGGAAATCTGAAATAGGAATTGCTGGGTGTGGCAGTGGAAAACAGACAAGTGGTCAGTAACCCAGCAATGTATGAAGGAAAGTATTTCCACTTGCTAGCTCAGCTGTTGTTTAGGCGCTGAAAAGCTGTAGAAACTCTTAGGTTTCATCTTTCCTGTTGTTAAGCAGAAAATTAGAGTTCTCCTGGGCAGAAGTTGCTGACCTAGACCTAAATCTTGCAGATACCATAGCCCTGACTCGATGTTAGGGCTCAGATTGAATTAAATGCGTAGATTATGCCTTGTACAGCTATGAAAACGTCATAATTTGGTATCCTGTGATAACACTTTTCCTCTGGTTTATATTTCAGTGTTTAAATGGGTGAGAAGAACATTAATTGCTCTTGTTCAGGTCACTTTTGGAAGAACCATCAACAAGTGAGTAGTATGAAATTAATATTTTAATTAATGCCTTACTCTCTATCGTAATAGTCAAAGTACTTCATGGTATGGGAGCCAGTGATCTCTCTAGCTGAAGGGATTTTATTTTCTCTTACTTACGTTTCTGATATGATTCTAAGATTGAATAGGGAAGCCGATTTCTGGAAGAATTTCTCCCACGGAGTGCATGGTGAATTAGATGGTAAAAGCTGGAGCTAGTTCCGACGTTCTAACGAGCCACGGTCAGAGGTTCGGTTCTGAGAAGTTCTTGACTGGTTTGAGTATGTTGGGTATAGCGCTTTTGTGCCACATTATGGGAGGAGGAAGAGTAGGCAGTGCAAGGCTTAGACCCTGAGCCAAAATGAAAGTGGGGTGAGGATCACATGGCAGGTCTTTATTTGAAGGGAAATACAAACCTCATATTATTTTTTTAGAGTTGGGGGTTGCATTAAAATGGGAATTCTTCTTGTTAGTATTTGAGTATCCTTCGGGGGGTGTGTGTGTCTTTTCATTCACATAACACTATTGTAAATGATATATATCTTGCGATATATATATACACCTTATCCATACATAAAAACATGTATTATATATATATAGATATAGATATATACACACACATCTGTCACAGAGTATTCTAGTGTTGTTCTTGAAAAGTGCTCCACATTTTGTCATTCATTTATGTAAACCCAGTGGGTCTGTTGTGGAGAACTCATAGTGAATTAATATTAGTTTCTAATAAAATACTGAAATTTTTCATAACTGCAAAATTATGCAGCCAGTAGAAGTCAAATAGAATTATTTAGATAGGTTTATAGAGAGCTGGGGGCAACGGTGGTAGAATTCTCACCTTCTGTGCAGGAGACGTGGATTCAGCTCCCGGCGAGCGCACCTCAAGCACAGCTACTCCCGTCTGTCAGTGGAGGCTTGTGTGTTGCTGTGATGCTGAACAGGTGTTAGTGGCACTTTCAGACTAAGGTGGACTAGGAAGAAAGGCCTGGTGATTTACTTACAAAACCAGCCGGTGAAGACCCGTTGGGTCAGAAGAGTCCCACCCAGCTGTGTGTGGGGCAGACTTGATGACAGCTGACGACAACATAGAGTCAGGCCTGAAAGGGTTGTAGAGATTAGTCCGCCTCCTCCTTTTGCAGGTGAGGACACTGAGACCCAAGGAGGTCAGTAACAGGAAGAACCAGGACTCCAGCCCACCCCCCCACATGGGGCCTGCTTTTCCCAGCTGTGTCTTGTGTTGTCTTTGCAGCCGGAATTTGGAACTGCTGTTATCAAGGCCTTTTAAATAGTGACTCTGCACTCCATATTCTTCAAGAGATGAGCATTATGACTTTGAGTCAGATGCTAGAAATAAGAAAAAGGTCACATTTTTTTTTAACAGTAAAATAAAGTTTAAGATGAAATTGTCAGCTTTTTCCAAGTGAAAGATTTAGTTGTCAAACATATATGCAAGGTTAATATGATAGTTTTATCATATAGAACCTATAACTTATGGAAAACATAGTAAAGAACATTTTTTATTTTTATTTACAAAAAGAATATATTTTCTTTGTTGTCATAAATAAAAGTTTACTTCAATTTTATTTCTAGAATTTTATAAACGGTTTTAGCTGCTCATCTGAGGCTTGTTTAGTTGATTTAATATCATAGACTTTTGCTTTAATCAGAAAAATGGCCTGTTTAACTTACTGTTACCGTCTAAGGCAACCCTCTTACCTTAGTTATTGACAGGCCTTGGATAAAGGCATTGCCAAAATGGCCTTATTTGCTCCTTTGTTTTCCTTTTCAATTTCAGCAAATCATGGGAACTCTCCTTGCTGATATTTATGATTCTGGCTCTTAATTATAAAGCAAGCAGCTGGGGTTTGTGAGTGGTGAATACACTGGGCAGTTGTTTTCATGGGCTGGAGGAGAGGCTGCATGTAGAGAATTTCAGGCTGTTGGTCTCAGTGGGCCTGTTCTCAGGTAGAGACTATGGAGCACCTGGCTCTTGGCTGTTTTTGCCTTCGGTAGACGATGACACATCGTAAAATGAAGCAGCAGTTCAGTGTGTCTTCCTGCCTTGCACCAAGTAAAATTTCACATACCAGAATTGCTTCAGAAGCTTTCTACAGGTTTTGTCTAATAGAAAATCAGACCTAAATTGGCAGAAAATACTTAGGTGACGGCCTTTGGGAAGAGTCACTTCCCTAATTTTAAGTTGTAAATAGAAAATTTCTTCCTTTCTTCCTGTAGTGCAATGATTAACCCAAAGCAAGACTACAGAACAAAAACAAGATGCTGGCACTTCTGTAGATGTTTCTTAGGAGGGCAGATGGGCAGTCTGTCTCTCAAAGCAGAGGTGATTCGTAACTTTATTTTATTTGGTCTGTATTTGAACTGCACAGTTCAAAGCAATACAGGGAAATATCTTAGGAAACGTAGTTACAGATAGAATTGACATTATAGCTTGGACTCAGTGGAGTTTAGACATCCGTTCAGTAATGGCTGATTACTATGTGCAGTGTATTGTGCTTGGGGAAACATCTATTTCAGAAACCATTTCTGAAAATCTTACATTGTCTCTTTAAAAATCTGGTTGGGAAGTCAGATTCTTACAGGACTTTTCCTTTTACCACTGTCTGTGAATGGGAGATTGAAATTTCAGGTCTTTCTGGTACTAATAGTCTAAGATGGTTCTTTTCCCCTTTTCAGCGGAGAGACTTCCTCCTCACAACCGCACAGCTACTCTTGGGCTCTTTGAGCTATGTTTTCTTGACTCCTGGAGGCAGAAGTCTCATAACTGGCTAGGACTTGACTAACGACTAATGAAATGGGCTTGTGTGGAAGAGCTAGGCAGCCTGATAAGAGGTCATTTATGCCTAACTCTGCAAGTCAAGTATCTGCCCAGGTTTTCATTCCGGGGAAATTTGGAATGGACTAGATGAGCAGTGTATGTTTTCAGAGTCCTTCACGTTGTGGCAAAAAGGAGTACCTTTTTTCCTTGCCTCATGAGCACGTGAGATGTCCACCGGGGTCGGAGTATTCTGCCCAGCGTTCTCTGCCATAGCAATACTCAGAGACAGCTGGTGAAAAACGTTAGGATCTCAGGGAGGTCTTCCAGACCACCTTTAAGAGTCTTTAGATAGGTCTGTGTTTTCTGTTGCTGCTTCTTCCTGGGGAGATTAGTGTCTCGAGTACCATGCACAGTCAGGGTAGTTGCAAGCGTCAGACAAATCAGTCAATCCCCGCAGTTCTCGTATTTACAGACTGAAAGGTGCTGCACTCAACCGTTTGGAGGAGTCGTTGCCGATGAAAACGTGAGCCTCAGGAGTGAGTGGTCACCTAGCATTAACAAATAAGAAATAACTTTCAGAGCCAGAGTTAAAAAATCCAATTCCTAGTTTATTCACCAAGCATTTCGATCAGGCTGTATCTTAACCTACCCCCACTCATAAACGCCTTTTGAGAATAGACTGTACATTTTTAAAAAACATCATCCAAGAAATATTTTTCTCTTAAAAGACAAATCCGGGACACAGTGAACTGGATTTTCAGTGAGCAAATGTTGGTTTACTACATCGGTGTTTTCCGGGATGCTTTCTGGCCAGCTGGGAAATTGGCACCACCAACCACAATCAGAAGCAAACAGCAAAGTCTGGAAACAAAACAGAGGGCACAGCAGAAGCTGCTTGAAAACATCCCAGGTGAGGTCTGGGTTAGTATCCTGAGATGTATGGAGAGAAAACGGGAATGCTGACCCTATTAAGGCATTTTATAGATTAGAAAAAGCATTGCTGTCAAGTCGATTCCAACTCATAGCTACCTTATAGATATAAGCATGTATATATCTTAGGAAACACCATCTACCATGAAAAAATGGTCACACTTTTTTTTGGGGGGATAGCATTTCTTGTCCCTTGATAAGAAATTATACTGAGACTTTTAATAAGAGTAGTACTGGTTAGAGTACTTTCTTTTAACTAGGAAAGCGTTTTAAAACAGATAACAAATGTGTGCTTTAGAAATCTGCCAAAGTAAACTGTTTTGAGAGCGTAATCTTTAATTGGGTAGCAGTATATTAAAATTAGAGTTTGTGTAAATGCCTTTATGTTGAAAAATTCTAAATACATTTATTTTCTCTTTAAACATTTGAAAGAACTGACCATTCATGTTCCTTATGCCTCAGTGTCTTTTATCTGCTTTGCTTGTATCATGTAATATCTTTTCAGGGAGTATCTATGCATTATGCACTTTATCAATAACAGCATAGAATATAAATTTAATTTCATTACATTTTTAAATTTAGATATGCTTCAGAGCCTTGTTGGACAGCAAAATGCCCGCCATGGTATAATAAAAATATTCAACGCGCTGCAAGAAACAAGAGCCAATAAGCATCTGTTATATGTGAGTAAATTAATGCCTACCAGAGGTTTAAGTATATCTTGGCCTTTATATTTCTGTTCACATTTGGGGATAGATTTTAATCCCTTACGTTGTCAGTCACTCTTATTACTTATAACCCTGACCCCATTTTCTCTGCTTTGTGTTTTTTGTTTGTTTGGCTCAAAAAAAAAAAAAAGAAAAAAAAAAGAAAACCAGACAAACATGCAGTGGACGCAGCATTCTCATCCTCTCATACTAGCTGTCTCCCCCGACTTCAGGTGCCACATTTCTGCACGGCTTCCTGGTTTTCTTATTTCAGCAAAGCAAACTTTCCCGGTTATCCTGATTGTAGTTAGCAATAGTAAATATTGTGGAGGGTTTGACAATGGTTAACACACCATAAAAATGAATCAGTCTGGTGCTAACTGGAAGTTTATTTAACCATCAGAAATAGATGAGTACTGTTTGAGAGTCACTTGTTCACGGAGGATAATCTCAGCCTAAAGTTAGACTTTTCTCTTGTATGTAGATGTTTGAGTAAACCCTTGGAGAAAAACCACGTTTTTCTACTTTTTTTCCTTCTTTCTTGGTGTAGGTGCTGATGGAACTGCTGCTAACTGAACTGTGTCCTGAGCTGAGAGCTCATTTAGATCAAATGAGAACTGGTCAGGTTTGAGGCTGCACAAATAACCCCCCAGAAATGTCTGTGTCAAAATAGACATGAAACATCTTCCTCTTTTCCACAGAGGGCCTGACCGAGAACCACAGGGATTTTTTTTGTAGTTCTCTCTCTCTAGTTTTCTGTGAAGGAAGCAGAATTGGGGGAGGGGGACTTGATGCTATAGTGGGCAACAGAAGAAAAATTTGTTAACTATTGGTTTTTATTTAAATAGTAATATAAATACTTTAAAGTTGAACATACTGATTGAAATACAAATGTTAATATGTGATAAGAACCTAGGAAATATTTTAAATATTTATGAAGATAGTTTTGTTTAAAATGAAGAACTATGACTATTGTACAGCTAATTTCCTCACTGAGGATTCTGAACATTCCTATATTCTTTCATGTGTATTGAAGAACATTGTTGTGCAATGCTTTGTGTAAAGTTATTGTGAAAATTTTTTGTTTTTATTTTTACCAAAGATTTCCCATAGTTTGAAGCATTTGAAGCAATAAAATGTAAAAATGAATCACGGGGCTCTATGAGGATTGCTGTTAGTTAGAACGCCGTGTTGCCCGGTCCTGTGCCATCGTCACGATTATTGGTGTGTTGGAGCTCATTGTTGGGGCTGTTGTGCAGCACCTTCCAACCTGGGGGGACTCATCTTCCAGCACCTACTTTGGGTAGTATTCTGTCGTTATACATAGGGTTTTCATCGGCTAATTTTTTGAAGTAGATTTCCAGGCCTTTCTTCCTAGTCTTAGTCTGAAGCTCCGCTGAAACCTGTCCACCATGGGTGGCCCTGCTGGTATGTTAAATACTGGTGGCCTAGCTTCCAGCCTCACAGCAACACACAGGCCAACACAGTACGGCAAACTGACAGACAGGGGGTGGCCGTGATGATTAGGATGCTTCTGTCTCAAAACAGAGGCTGAAACACTTCAGAGTGCCTTCTCTGTAGAGGACACTGTACATGTAAGTATTTCTGCAACAAAGTATCAAGTTGGCTGCTGCTTTCCAGAAACAGATATATAGGGAAAAACAAAGATTTGTAGTGAATGAGAAGAGTCAAATTAGTACCTGACTGTGGGCTGAGCCTTGAAGGATGGGCAGGAAACAGAAGGGGAGGTAGGGAAAGGAGGTAGGGAAGCAGAAAGAGGAGGGGATTATTTCAGGGGTTTAGGGACTTCATTGTATCATCAAGTCTGTGGATCAGAAGGGGCCGTAGATGAGACTCGAGGTACAGATTTTGTTTTGTTACTTGATGGTGGGGCCATGGACAAGTCACTACATCAGTTTCCCTGGGTGTCACCATCTGTACGTGGTGAAAACAAACACCTTTCCCTCTCTAACCTCTAGGCGTCCTGGGTGGTGCAGATGGTTGAGTTCTCGGCTGCTAACCAGGAGGTTCTACTCTGAAACACATGGGTTGCTTCAAGTCAAAATCAACGTGATGCTAACTGTTGTTGTTTTTTCCCTCTAACCCTCAGGAATATTGAAAACAAAACAATTAACAGGCAAAAATTTAGTTTGGAATCTCTGAAGGAAAAATACCATATAAATTAAAAGTGGTATTGATAGATCATACTTGCCAAGTTCTTGATAAGAAACATAAGTTCTGAAAGATAATGGTTAAAAATTGGTAAACCAAATGTTGTCTCTGAGATTCTTCTAGTTACAGCTCTTGATCCCTTTTTTAAACCAGGATATTTGACAAACCCAGCGCTGGTCATTTACATGGATAAGAATTATCCTTCACAGAAAGGTAGAAAGGACGATTCAAATTCAGCGAAGAGAAGCAACGTGAAGTTGCCAGGCCCAGAGAACTCAGCATAGCACAGCTGCTGGAAGTGGCTACCTCATCTACACTTCTATCCTATAATTTAAGCTGTAGCTGTTAACGTTTATGCTTCAAATGAGGCAAATAACTATTATTTTGACTCCTCAATATTTCTTATGATAAGTTCTCCATTTTTCATGAGATAACGGCTAAAAGGAACCTTACAGAAGTTTGATTTAACAAAATGTATCATGATCTGGAAGCCTCAGCTCACTTGAGTTTAAGGACTGCCTGGCTCCACTCACAGGGTCAAGGTGTGCACCACAGCACGCAGCCGGGGAGGTTGACGGGTTCACCTGTACCAGAAGCACCTGCTTTGTGATGGTTTTATAATTCTGTGTTGGACTTACTGAAGACATTTAAACCAAAAAAACTAAACCATTTGCCGTGGAGTCATTTCTGACTCATGGTGACCCCATGTGTTTTAGAGTAGAACTGTGCTCCATAAGATTCCCCACGGCTGTGATCTTTTGGCAGTAGATCACCAGGCCTTTCTTCTGAGGTGCCTCTGGGTGGATTTGAACTGCCAGCCTATCTGTTAGTAGCTGAGCACTTAAACATTTGTACCACCCAGGGACTCCTTGAAGATACTTAGGCGTAGTATATTACCACATGTGGCATGTTCCTATGTTTGGGATTTCTCAGACTAGTTTTCAAGGATGATTTAAGTTTATACTTTTTGAGAGATTTAAGAGAGAGAAGTATACTTTAGGGCTTCTTACAGACCTAAGTCTGTTGAACTTTCTTCCCTTTATATAAAGATAAAATGAAGTTCCAGTAATACAGAAAAACCAGAACTTCAAACAAGAGCATTAATTTTCGCCATCCAATAGTTCTTTCGTGACTGGCACATACATATTACTTGCATTTTCCTGCAACTAAGATAAATCCACTTTTGGAAAGGATGGTTGTAATTTATAAAATAAAGCCACATTGGTATGTTTGCAAAGAAGATACAACTAAGGTATCCCTAAGGCATCTTTAAGACATATCATCTTCAATATATTTGTTTCACAGATACGTATCCATAGAGTCTTCTGCATGTGGATCCTCTAGTCTGTCAACTTTTGCCATCATCCACATCACTGATAAGGGAGGTCTCTTGCTAATTTAATTGTTTAGCCATATTTAACCATAGTGATTTTTGGTAGATGATTTCATTGAGGTTTTTTAAACATTTATTTTATTTTGAAGTACATTCGTATTTAAAAAGCATAAAAATAGGTTAAAACACAAACATCTTCTTTTAATTATGAATAGTCATCAGAAATATAGCAATTATTTTACTCATTAAATTAAGGTCTTTGAAGGCATGGCGGGGACATCCAAACATTTGAATAATAAATGTTTAGTTTTAATTTTTTGTTTCAGTCACTTAATATTTTTAAATTTAAAATTCATAAAACTAGTCACAGAAATTTAAAGAATTAATCTTTCCAACGAATCTTTTATGTCTGTAGTAGCATTTACACTTGTGAAGTGATTAAAGCTAAAACCGCACTGAATCTTTTGGGACTCTGTATTTCAGAAAGGAGAAGGATGCTTGTTCTACGGAATGCTTGTTAGTACTTGTGGCCTAGGCCAGTCTGTAGGCTAAGGGTGGATCTCTGAGGATTCTTCCAGTTGTAGAAATTACAGCATACAGATTCAAGAACAAAGGTAACATGTCATCACTAAAATACCCAGGATAATGTAACTGCAGATGCAGAAAATAACCAAACTCAGCTACTGTAAAAATATACACGTTGTACGGTGTTAGGATTGATGATCATTGTTGAAATGCATTCTGGTTTAAATTCTTTGACGAATAAGTAGAGAGTGGAGTTCATCTGCCAACGCAGGATTCAGACGACAGGCCTTGAAGTCAAAGAGAGAAGATTCAGTTATTTAGATACATTATACATTGTTGGTTCTTCCTTTCTTTTTTTTAAGAATAGTAAAGTACAAAGAATTTCAAAGGAACTTCTTAAGATACATTTCTGATTTCCTAGGAAGAAATAAGGTAAATTTAAATTTAGCCTATGCAAAATAGGTCATACTTAAAATAACCCTGTTATCATTGGAAGGAGATAAAATTTTATCAGTGCTCAGAATAAAGAGAATTTACATAGCATTCTGTGTTATGAATTATTAAAATAAGTAAAATGGAAAGCATGAACATTTGGCCTCAAACTTGTTTTGATTTCATTATATGAATAGCAACATCTATAATAGTCTTATATTTATGTTGTTAGGTGCTGAAGAGTCAGTTCTGACTCATAGCCCCCTGTGAACAGCAGAACGAGACATTTTATTTATAGTTAGTTTTTATTATTTCTAGAGTAAATAGTGATAAGGTGCATAATTTCAGAGTCTCAAGATTTTGGAAGAGACATCAGCAGTTATCTTCCCAAATCCCACTCCGTACAGAAATCATCCCTTCAGTGCTATGACAGCTGGTCAGTAGGTATCTGCTTGGTTGCCTCCAGTGGCGGGAAGTCACCACCTTATAGGGAAACATTTTGTTTCCTGAACAGTTGTATTAGAAGATTCCTCCGTACATTAAGCAGAAATTTTTCTTCATGTACTTGAGAATCATTGAGGAGTCCTAGGAGGACATACCATGCTGGTCTCATAGAGACCCTTAGATACAGAGTAGTCGGCAGTGTCACCCCGCCTGATGGTGGCAGGGCTGAGTCCAGGCATGGGTCTCCTGCCTTCAGGCCCCGTGTCTGTCCACCATCTTACTGCCTTACTTTTTACTGTAACACACTGCCATTGGCTCTAATTCCACTCCCTCCCCAACAGTTCCTTCTCTGTGGGACAGTCTTTCAATCTGCTGAAGACCACTACCAGAACCCATCATGTCTTTTCTCTCTGGATAAAGCAGCCTCACCTTCTCCCATCATGCCTCATGGCACGAATTCCAGGCCCTTCAATGCATTACCACCTCTAAATTCTCTCCATTTAATGACCATCTCTCATAAAATATAACGGCCAAAATTGAGTACGGTATTGCGGATATGGTCTTATCCTTGCAGAATAATGGGGATATTATCCCCCATCATATGGAACAAAAGTTCTGAGGTTATGTTCTGTTTTGCTGCTTCATTCAGTTGAATATATACCACATTAAGAATATTTTTTTGACCTAGAGTTTTCTCTGCTTATACTTATTTAGAAAGGATACTAAGGATAGTGTAGATACTGAAATTGGTTTGAAAATTGGCATAATACAGAATATTTAGGTTAAAAAAAATAAAGACCACTATTATCCATACTAACAGAATGAAGTAATGGTAAATACTTCAAAGGTCAGTTATATTTGATTGTGTCCTGTGTTCCTATATTTATGTGTTAATATGGGTTTGATCCTCTGGAAATCTTAATTTCAAACAAAATAATTTGGTGGTTCCCAAACTTGCCTGCACATTGGGAACCCTTGGGGAGCTTCAGCAAATACTGTGTTTGTGTCCTCTCGGAGAATATAATTATTCTGAAATAAGGCCTGGGCTTTGGAATTTTTAGAAGATCCCTTGGTGATTTTAGTAGGTAGACAGATTTGAGGGACCATTGCTGTAATATGATCAAATTCAGGCAAGTGACTTAGAAAATTGTTCCTTGTGGTGTTCCCCTGTTCAAGCTGAACAATTTGTGTTCTACAAAATACTTAACAAATTTTATCATGATGTAAGTCTAATTTGGACTTTATAGATGTCATTTACCTAAGTCATGCAGTGTATTTTTGTTTGTTTTAATTTACTTGCAGTTGCTATTCATAATGATTTACTTCTCCCCCTCCCCTCAACAGTTGCCTTGTTTCCCGAAATCCATTTGGGATCTAAATAAACTGAGCACGTGGATTAAAACATGGTTTTACCTCAAATCACCAGCAACCTCAAGTGTGCTAGATACCATGCGTACAAAACTCTTTTTAAAACCTCATTCCATTAAGGTGCTAGAATGAAGATGCAGGTTCACACTTTTCTGGGTGAAAGAAGATGTGAACATTTGGTGCTGGGCTTCAGGCTGCTGATGGTACCAAAGTGAAGGAGAATAATTTGCATCAAAATAGGACTTTTACCATCTAAGTTTAATTATGCTAATGAGAATCTGACAGAATTGTCTGCGGGTGATCTGCAAGTCTGACATCCTCACTGTAGACAGAGGTAATCTGCACAGTCATTAAGTAGGAAAAAAACATTCATCCATACAGATATTCAAGTCTCCTCTAAAAGTCCAGCAAGTTCTATTTGGGTCATTATTCTAATGCTTCCTTTAGAATATGCTAAAGCTTACTTTAGAATAATAGTGTTTAGCTCCTGCTTCATCCTTGGTGATCCCCAAGCCAAGCTGAAGACATCGTGCATGGTAGAAAGACGCCAAGGCCATGCCTCTGATGATGAATTCTGGGAGACAGTCCGTGACCTGGGCTATCACGGGGATGTCATGAACCTCATCATAATCAGCAATCCTGTTGGAGACGTTAAGTTGAAATTGCATAGGATGTCAGTTATGATTACGTTATACAAAACGGCATGTCCAGAAGTTGTATGAGCAAATAAATATGGGAAAGTACATGGAGCCTTATGGGATCAAAGAAAAGATTCCATACATTTTATAAGATACTAGTGTCAGGGGTTTTTTTAACCATTCTAATTTTACATTCCATATCAAGCTATATTCAGTTGCAGGGATATGATCTGTGACTGGAGAGTGTAAGAAGAAATTAAAAGATTATTTAATGAACATTTTTGATGTGCCAAGTTGTGTTAGGTACTTTATATACACAGTTTTTATAACCCTGCAGTAGAAATATTTTCTTCTTATGAATAAAGCAATTGATGCTCAAAAAAGTTAAGAAATTTGCTTAAGAGCACTTGGCTAACATACAAAGCTAAAAGCACGGAAATCCTGAAGACTAATAGCATAGAATTCTGTATGGTAGCCACTAGTGACATGTGACTATTAAATAAAATTTAAAAGTTCAGTTCCCTAGTTTCACTAACCACATTTCCAACATTCCAGAAAGTTCTATTGAACAGATCTGACAAGTAGAGTTTTTGAAAATCCCTTTAGCTTACGTACCTTTTGGAAAATGTAACACACTTTGTGAAAAATTTCGTCTTATAGTAATACTCCACAAGATTCCCTTGGGCATAGACATTTCCACGTTCCGCTGCCTCCCGTAAGCAATGCAAGGCAGCTTCCGTATCCTGGCGGATGCCTTGTCCGTAAAAGTACATGAGGCCAAGTGCACCTTGGGATTCCAGATTCCCATTGCCACATGCTTCAGAATGCCAGAAAAATGCCTAAGGAAAAGCACCGTTTTGTCATCTTATTATTCATAAAATGAAATTATAAGTAAGGGAATACTGGGAGGAAAATAGTCTCTAACTGTAAGGTAATACAGTTCTTCAACTCTAGGAAATCGTTCTGGCCCCTTCCAGTGTATTTCAGGATGGCACCAAATTCATATACCTGAAAGTGAGTGCTAAGGTGACCCCTCTGCTTCTACCCACAGAGCAGGTGATGTCAGAGTCCTGAGACCCCACCTGAGAGTTCATGGCAGAACATCAGGCTGCCCCAGGATGCAAGATTTTCTGATTTTCCAAAGAGTAAGGATCAAGAAGGTGCAAGACAGAAACTAAGTGTGTGAAAGGCTTTGAGACAGGCCTGTAACAAGGCACAGAGGTAAGAGAGGATCTGGGAGTGGATCTCAGAGAGGGCAGTTGTGTGCAGCATCAAGCAATTTGTTTAGTACTCAGCTCTAGGGAATGTGAATTCCAAAACTGTGTCCAAGGGACGGCTCGGCTGCCCGAGGGTGGTCTTAGTTGTTACGTGCATCTTACAAGTTTGCCATTAACTGCTTTCTTACAAGTAGGACTCAACCCAACATGTCCTTCTCCTGTAGGACTTCTTGGAAAATGTTTCAATCACTGATGATTAAAGAGATCAATTTTTGTAAACATCTTTAATTTTTAAATTAATATTTAGTATCTTTTACTTACTAGATTGTTTATTCCTCAGATTAAATGTGAGAACATTGATGTATTCATACTTGAAGGATTTGGGCTTTAATCTCAAGGCTCTCCCTCTGAGCTTTCATGGTGCAATAATAATATTTTGTTGATGTAGCTGTTTATAGTATACAAAATACTCCCACATCCGTGGTTTCCTTTGGAAGAGGTAGGGCGGTAGTGTATATAGACTCCCCGGCTGGTGCAGACTGCTAATGCACTCGGCTGCTAACCTAAAGGTTGGAGGTTTGATCCCACCCAGAGGTGTCTGAAGAAGAAAGCCCTGCCGATCTACTTCCAAAAATATCATCCATCGAAAAAACCCTATGGAGCACAGTTCTACTCTGACACACATGGGGTCGCCATGAGTCAGAATCATCTCAAAGGCAACTGGTTGGTAAACAAGTGTGAAATGAGTTTTGAAATTCTAGTAAATTTTCTTTACATTTCAAATAAATATAAAAGATATTCAAAATGACACATTTATTCCTCACCACCCTCCTTTCAAAAAAAAAAAAATAGTGAAACATATTAATTTAAATATAACATTAGCATTGTTAAAACACTGGCATTATTTTAAAAAAAGAAGAAAAGAAAAGGTACATGCTACCTTCTCCAGCTCTTTAGGCTCTTTTGTTGAGTAATATAACCCTAGGATACTTTGAGCCTTCACACTAGCTTTCGGATTTCCATTGTCTGCAGCAAAAAGCCACAGTCTAAAAAAGAAAGGCAAAGGCAAGTTATTCTTTGTTTCAGCATTTCACCAAAATAAAGTCTTATTCGCAGATAAGATTACCTTTCAGCTTCCTCATCTGATCGTTTGACGCCTTTTCCTTCGTAATAAGCTCTTCCAAGGTTGTAAGCAGCTGCAAATTGTAAATGTCTTGCTTTGGGACATGGAGACTCAACAATTTTCTTCATATATTCCATTCCTTTTTCCTTCCACAAAGGAAAAGAACAAACAACCCCAGTTTTTAGTTTTACCCAAACTAAATTCTTTTCTCCCAATAATGTAGAGTGTTCACGCTCTGACATGGTGTATAATGTCACGAATCTATGTCCAGGTGGTGTGGTTGTCCTGTAATCCACGGGGCTAGAGATAACAAAGGAAAGACGTAAAAATATCTCTCCTGTTAGGCATTCATGTGAGTTCTGGGATGGAAGACATCGGTTTAGCCTCTCCGTTTTTTAGCTTCCAGATGCCTCAGTATGGCTTTCCTTTTTTCTCTCCTCCTTCCAACCTAATAACCCTTATCCTGAATCAGCACTCACTGAGGATATAGTTATTAGAACTTATCAAAGTGCAAGAATAGCCAGTAACTTCTTTCACATTTATAGTTCTTACAGTACAGTTGTGAGCCCCAAACAAATGCTTATCTTGTCTCTTCAGGCACATTGTCTTCAGCAATCATTTGCATCCAATATGCTAACCTTCATATGACATCTGCTACACAGTCACCAAGAAGGCATATAAGACATTCTAACCACTAGCATCAAAAGGATCCCCCCACAAAAAAAATCCATCAGACCCGAAGCTTCAGTCACACAAAAGGAAATAATATTTATTGACAAATGTCAAATACATTTTTGTACACCTGCATTCCAGCTTTTACCTCATCATTGCTCTCTCAAAGTAGTATTGCTAGGTAACCATGGAAATGGATAAGAAAATAAGTTTTACTTTTAGTGATACCCTGATTATAGGGATTTATTTTTGTGAATATGTGAGTTAGGTATCTAGCTTCCCCTGCCAGCTGGATACAACTGGATAGTAAGAGAGAACTTAAGTGAATGAAGTGGTTGCATAAATCCTCCCAGAAAACAATTATTAAATCTGGACAAAATACAAAGAACGACTTTTTAAAGGCGCTGGAACATTCCTGAAGCAAACACAAGCTGGAGGAAAGATGAGTCTTGAAAACTGCAGCCGGAAGGAATCCAGGAAATTCAATCAGCCTCAGGCAGGATAAGCACCGACAAACCCTCTCGTAAGCACATCATAGTCAAACCACTGGAAGCCAAAGATAAAATCTTGAAAGCAGCCAGAGAAAAGGACACAGTATACGCAGGGAAGCAACAATGCAATTGTCTGACTTCTCATGAGAAATAATGGAGGCCAGAAGATTTCAGAATAATGTATTTAAAGGTGAAAGGAAAAACTGCCAACCAGAGAAACAATAAATGAAGGCAAATTAAAGACATTTTCAGATCATCAAAATTGGAGATAATTTATCATCTGCTGACCTGCACTACAAGGGATGCCCTTTAAAGGGAGTCCTTCTGGTTGAAAGGAAATGGGAAATGATGCCAGATGGCAACTCAGGTTGGTAGGGAGGAATGGAGACCACCAGAAATGGTAAGTATGTAACAAATATGAAAGTATACATATATATACATCTGTATGTACATATGTTTAGAAGAAATAAAACCGGAATACTCTTAGAAGCGAGGATGGTGAAACTTTGTCTTGCTTACTTTGGACACGTCGTAAGGAAAGACCAATTCCTAGAAAAGGACCTCCTGGTTGGTAAAGTAGAGTTTCACGGAAAATGAGGGAAACCCTCAATGAGATGGATTGACAGAATAGCCACAACAATGTGCCCAAACATATCAAAGATCACAAAGGTGGTGCAGGACTGGGCAACGTTGTGTTCTGTTATAGGCAAGTTTGCCATGAGTCAGAGCTGACTCCAGGGCAACCAACAACAACAACGTGTATATGTATGGAGTCCCTGGGTGATACAAGGAGCTCTGGTGGCATAGTGGTTAAGACCTTGGCTGCTAACCAAAAGGTCAGCAGTTCAAATCCATCAGGCACTCCTTGGAAACCCTAGGGGGCAGGTCTACCCTGTCCTGTAGGGTCACTATAAGTCAGAATCAACTCCACAGCAATAGGTTTAGCTTTTTTTTTGGGGGGGGGGGTGATATAAATGGTTAACACTCTCGGCTCCTGACCAAAAGGTTGGAGGTTCAAGTCTACCCATGTGCCTCAAGAAAGTCCTGGTGACCTACTTTGAAAAATCAGTCATTTAAAACCCTATGAAGCACAGTTCTATTCTGATACACATGGGGTTGTCATGAGTTGGAGTTGACTCAATGGCATTTTTTAATGTATATATGTGTATTTTCTTAATTTCCTTAAAAGATGTGACTAAAGCAAAAATTATAACATTGTATTTTGTATTTTAGGGCTTATATATAAATGTAATACATATACCACAACAAACAGCACTAAAGATGGGGGGTGGGGATAAATGAAAACATACTCTCCCAGGTTCCTGTGTTTTACCTGAAGTAATTCCATATTGACTGTAAATTGTGATAAGTTAAAAATGTGTATTGTAATCTCTAGATCAACTACTAAAACAAGAAAAGATATATAGCTGGAAAATTAATAGAACAGAAAATACGAAATTGTAGTCAACTGTCTCATCACCATTTCCCACAGATTGGAAGTAATAATTTTATGACATATACTTAATACCTATGTATTTGTATGGATCCATTTCTGAACGCTCCATTTTATTATGTTGTATTTGTTCCTGAACAAACATCACTTTGTTTAAGTAGTACAGATTTATATTTGGCTATTTAGTACTGTAAACCCTTCACTGCAGCTTTTTGTTCTTTCTTCAAAATTAACTTGACTGTTGCATATTTATTTTTCATATGATTTTTAGAATCAGCTTGTCAAGTACCATAAAACATTGTAGAAAGTTTGAGTCTGATTGTTTTTAGTTTATAGTTGGATCTGGGGCGTGGGTAGAGGCTACACGTCAAAACAATGTCTCTGGAAAATGGCAGCCCTGACAAATGAGAGGCGGTGTCTGTAGACCATGGATTACATAAACCTAATATCTCCTGCACTCTGCCACTAAAATTAATTCACATTACTACTGCTTTATGCTAAAGAAAATGTAAAAACTTTTTTAGAATTCTGACTGAGAGATGGGGGAGGAAGCGCTAACACATGAATTTTTCCTCCACGGTATCACCTCAGCCCCAAGTGGGTTATTTTCTTATCCTTTTCCAATGCCATTCCCAAACCTCATTTGTAACGTCTCAAAATGCTGGAGCCCATGTGTGATTATGATCTCTGTAGGACGTAATCCTATGAGCTTTTATGTTCCCTGAAGAAAAAAGACATTTCAAGTCTATCTTGTAAAGCATATGTGGTTCAGCCAGGCTCTGGACCAAATCAGTATTAAGAACAACTTGGTAAATTAATGAAAGAAGGTGAAAAAACTGAAAAGAATTTGATCTCTGCTTGTTTACCCAAAAGCCAAACCTGTTGCCATTGAGTTGATTCTGACTCATAGTGACCCTATATGCCAGAGTAGAACGGCCACATAGGGTTTCCGAGGCTTGTAAATCTTCACAGGAGCAGACTGCCACATCTTTCTGCCACACAGTGGCTGGTGGGTTTGAACTGCCAACTTTTCCGTTAGCAGCCGAGCACTTACCTACTGCACCACCAGGGCTGCTTCTGCTTGTTTACCTTGGGTTAATTGTATGAGCAAGATAACTCAGTTTAATTCTAGGTAAGAAGGGACCTAAGGACACTGTTGTTTTCTTGCTCTTCTAACCTCAATGCATACTTACATTCAAGTCATTCTGTTTTTGAGTTGCTGTACAGCAATCCACTGAGTCTACCAGTTTTCACCGTCTCTCCTCCTCCAAGTTCTTCCCATATTTTCCAGCTTATTCTGCATCTGTCGCGATTCTCATTCCTGTGTCCCTCTTTCCCTTCATGGCACTCACTCATCTGGCAAATAACCCAGCTCTCTGCCTGCTCTGAGCCTGCACTCAAGCCGTGCGGAACATGGCTGGAGAAAAATACAACCACATAGGCCCTTCTTTCAATTTATGAGAAAATGGGATGAATTCCTTTTTGCTTTGTATACTCAGCCGCTTCGACATTATGGTGCCTTAATTGGGAAGTAAGCTGCCAGTGGCCAGGAATTCAACAACTTGGTTTAGCTAACATTACTCAAGTTTCCAAAGATTGATCAGCCCCGTGAAATGCACAAGATCAAGTTCTGGGCTGCAGGGCTAAAAGCCAAATTCTGAGCCAAGGTGAATTTACCAAAATAAACATTACTTTATATGGCTTCTTCGCAGCTTTCCATGGATATACCACAAGTTAGGTTCCTTTCTTTTGACCTTCAATATGGAGTTTTAGGAAATTTTAAAAGATGGACAGGACATGATCAGATCTGCATTTAGTAAAGATGGCTTTGGTGGTGGCACAAATGATGAATTTGGGACCAGGGCAGAAGTCAGGGAGCTGTTTTGTTACAGTCCAGGTAAGGGGCAGCGTGAGCCTCAGCTGAGACAGAAATGGGGACAAACCTGGAGGTGGATGTAACGGGTACTTAGAAGACAGTGTCAGCGGTGCTGTGTGAGCAGGGGGCTAGGAAGACATTCTGTTTCTGTTTATGAAAGGACTATCTCTAGTTTGGTCTCTTAGCTGTAAATGACTATTAAGTTTTAAGAAAGTATACTTCTTCACACTGTTTTTCTAAAAAGTTTGAAGAATAAATGTTGATTTTTATCAAATGCCTTTTCATACATTACTGAAATCATCACATGATTTCTTTTATTAAAGTGGTATATTCATAGATTTCTTTATATTGAATTATTAAATTTCCTGGCTAAGTCTTAACTTGGTTAGGATATAATATTCTTTTAAATGTATTACTGATTTTGTTTGTAACAAGGGTAAGTATTTTATTATGTTAACAGCTAACAGCAATTTTTCTTAGAGAGAGATGATCTTTCTCTTGGAAAGTTCTTTGAAAAAGCCCGTTGAGGTGAGACCCTGAGAGCAGTGTTGTCAGGAAAGGGGTGCAAGATCAATCAATCAATATTTGTTGAGAGTCTTCTGGAGGTCTGCATTGTTCCAAGCTGGGAATTCAACAGTGAACAAGATAGACAAAACCCCTGCCTCTATGGCACTTACATTTCAATTAGGGAGACCGAAATTAAACAGGTAACAAATAGTTAAGTCATTAAAGGCTGTGAGGAAAATAAAGAGTGCTATTTTGATAAGAAGGAGTCCTGAAGGTGCAATAGTTAAGCTGCTAACAGAATGGCGGTGATTTGAACCCGCCAGCGGCTCTGCGGGAGAAAAGACCTGGAGATCTTCTCCTGTGAAGATTACAGCTTAGGAACCCTGTGGGGCAGGTATACTCTGTCACATGCAGTCACTATGAGTCAGAATCAACGGCACATAACATTTTGATAATATGGCCATAGACAGCCTTTCAGATGAAGTGACATTTGAGCAGAGACCTGAATGAATGGAAGGCAAATGAAGGGATGACTAAACTGCATTATATGAGAAAATGGGTCAAATTTATTTTTTTGTCTCAGAAAGAGAGAGGGAGAAGGTACAGAAGAGGTTAAGGTGGAATAGGAAAGATACTTAGCAAGTTTGTGAGCAATCATATGAGGTAGTGCAAACCAAAACAAAACAAAAAAAGTGCCATCAAGTTGATTCCGACTCACGGTGACCCAATGTATATCAGAGTAGAACTACTCTGTAAGTTTCTCTTGTCTGTAATCTTTATGGAAGCAGATTGCCAGGCCTTTCTTCTGCAGTGTTGCTGGGTGGATTCGAACCTCCAGCCTTTAGGTTAGTAGATAAGTGCAAACTGTTTGCACCACCCAGGGACATGAGGCAGTGCCACCCGTGAGAAGTCCCTGGTGAAGGGCAATAGAAATGACTGACAGACAAGTTTGTTTGCTATGTGGGCCCTGATGTGGCCCTTTCTGAGACCCATACGTTTTAGCAAAAGCAATGCTACAAGCAACATCCTTGGCTTTATGAGATCATCAAGGAGAATAGGCTGTGACCTATGCTAGGGCAGACATAAAGAAACAGCCCCAAAGTTGGAGACTGGAGAATAAAAATAGCAGGAAATAAAATAGCAGAGGTGGTAACCCAGTCACCCAAAGATTGTAAGCCACCCAAAGAATCTGGATTAATTCTTGAAGCTCTTTGACTTCTACAGTCCATGAAATTGGGGAGAAATTGAATACCTTTTCTTTAAATCTTAAGAAGTGAATGGAGTTTTCACGCATAACTTTTTTTGGGGGGGTGGTGATATATATTGAGATTTTCATTATGCTCGAACTTATATCTCAAGTATATGTGTTCAATAATGGTGACTCAACCGTGGAGGCTTAAAATTCAATGTTAGGAATGTTATTATTTGGATGCTCCATCATTTATAAAATTTACCTATAATATACTGAAAATTGTCTGTCATTCAAAAATCAAAATATTTTAATTAATAATAAAATATTTTGTCCAATTTTTAGCACTTATTCCTTTATGTAGTTTGATGCTGTAATGTTTGGCACATATAGGCTCTGTATTTTTATCTTTTTCATATTGAATGGAGCTTAAGTTACGACTATATATGATAATTTCCCATTAAGTTTTAATGTGTGCTTCTATGCATACTTCTGTTGATTGATAGATCTTTTTCTAGCCTTTTAAAATTTTTTTTCTGTTTCATTTGCTTTAAGTAAAGCATGTATTTACCCTTATAATGGCAATTTACACAAATTATATTTGCCTATGGTTGTAGTGGAGCTCTGGTGGTGCAGTGGTTAAGAGCTCAGGCTGCTAACCAAAAGGTCGGCAGTTCAAATCCTCCAGCCACTCCTTGGAAACCCTATGGGGCAGTTCTACTCTGTCCTGTGGGGTCGCTATGAGTCGGAGTCGACTCATAGCACACAACAACAACATGGTTGCATTGATTATATGAGTTCCTTTTTAAAACTTTTTATATAAAAAAATTTCAAGCACATAGGAAAGTAGAATAAATAATACAACAAACATTTGCATATCTACATGTATTCTCAGCAATAAACCAGGAGAGTTGGGTGTTCAAAGAAGCCAGGGGAACAGAGGGATAGAGATGAAGGAGGGAAGGTTCAACGATAAAAACTGTTGCACAGTGAGGTAGGTGAATATAGACATGACCTCTGGATTTGACAACATGGGAAGCTGGGTGATCCAGACCAGAGCAGTTTCCGTAGACGAGCAGAGCAGAGCAGAGCAGAGCAAGTCTGTGAGTGAATCAAAAGGAAGGAAGGGGAGCAGCTTGTGCAGACACGTTTCTGGAAGGAGGAAGATGTAGGGAGACGTGGGGCTAAGAGAAAGCTTCTTTTAAGTATATTGTTGGGAATGATTTGACAGGGATATTCCTGAAAATGGGTTCAAAAAGTGAAAGTGAAATTGACGTTTGTATGCTGTTAAAGAGAGGGAGCCTTGCAGGAGTAATGTGGGGATTTCAAGTGAGTTAAAAAGTTACAAAATTATGGATTTTATGGAAGGAAAACAAATGCATACCTGTATTTGAGAAATCTTTTATTTAAAAAGCTTATAGGTTACTTAAGAGGAGAAACGGGCAAATAAGTTTATTACTTGTCAGAGAAGTAAGACACTGCTGTTATAATCTCCCTGTTTGAAAGAGAAAATAATTTCATTCAATCAACATTTACTGAACATTGTACTGGGTATTTCCTCATAAGGGATTGGACTGAATAATTTACTCATCTTGTATTTCTAAACTCTATGAGTCTTTGAGTTAAAAATGTAAAGTGAATAAGAAGCTTCTATAAACATTTAAAAATAATAAATATTAAGAAAAAATGACTCAATAAATGAGGTAGATTAAGTTTCAGAGAGTCCATTTGTCTTTTCAGTGGCAAAACCTAAACTTCTCCTTTTACACTGCCCATTATTTTACTCTTCTTCTAAATGCTAAGACAACTATTTCAAGCTTTGCAAGACCTGAATCCCAAATGAAGAAATATCTGGAACAGGGGAGATTAAATAGAAAACATTTGCATGGAACTCTGACATTCTTTGTTTCTACGAACATAAGTAAGTTCAGCTGTTTGTGTGTAGATGTCTACCCACTGATGTGTTTATGTTCTGAGGTGTTTAGTAGAGGTGAGGGATACGTGCTGTCAGCCCACAATCGCGAGGTCTTAGCTGAAAACAGTAGTACAGCCTGTGGCCAAGGTAAGGTCAAAATCTGCCAATGACCTTCTGAAAAATAATTGCCCAAACTAACAAGTTAAAAAAGAAAAAAGCTTTATGTAATTCAGTGATGTCACAATTTTCCACTGACCCAACGGGAATAAAATACCATGAAGACGAAGCTTAAGAAGAGAATATCATTAGATTATTTGTGTATGCAAGGGACCCATCCAAAAATGTTATTTAATGAGTTCATAACATACAGGGATGCCATTCCCTTCTAAGTCATTCAATACAGAATTCGACTCCCGTGTTCCCTTGTTCATGTCTAAGAGAGAATTTACAATAGTTCTAAGTACGCGAGAAAGAAAACTGTCTGCTCCAGTCAAAACTAAAGTTTTACCTTTAGACTCTTGTTATTTACAATACTATTTACCCCTAAGCTCTATTGTTTACGACAGCTGTTGTAGTGAGTTGCTGTGACCTTTTGGAAGCAGATCAACAGGCCTTACTTCCAAGGCACCTCTGGGTGGGTTTGAACCGCCAACCTTTTGTTTAGTAGCCGAGCGCTTAAGCTTTGTGCCACTTAGGAGTAAGCAAGTAAGACACAAAAAGGTAAGCAGGTCCTCTCTAGGACTGCGTGCCAGCGTCCCATTTCTAGGCATGTTCCCTCCACCTGCAGCCGAGCCCGCGCTCTGTCCGCGCTCCTTGCTCTGGTACACGACCTCACCGCAGAGCATTGTAAAGCAGACAAGTTATTGACGGCTAGTGGTAGCAAGAAACATTTTCTGTGGTAAATCAGAGAATTAAAAAATTCCAATTGACCTTCAGAAATCAAATTGTATAACTGAAACTATTCCTGGTAAATTGACTTAATGAATTTCTTAGCCAAGATTATCTGTATTCCCCACAGTGTTTATTTCTGAGCAGGTATGCCATGTGAAATGTTTTTGTTTTTTTTTTTTTCCTCAAGATCTAGTGCTATTAAAAAACAAAACAAAACAAAAAAACCTGTCGCCGTCAAGTGGATTCCGACTGATAGTGACCCTATAGAACAGAGTAGGACTGCCCCATAGGGTTTCCAGGGAGCCGCTGGTGGATTCAAACTGTCGACCTTTTGGTTAGCAGGCAAGCTCTTAACCACTGCGCCACCAGGGCTCCTCTAGTCCTTCAGTAAACTGAATTCTCAATGGAAAACTGTGTGTTCTGGAAGAGACGAACTTTGTCCTAAAAGGTATGCAATGCCAAGAAGTTCCTGCTGCCGTTTGTTTACCCTATCTGCCTTAGGTATACCTGAATGAAAATGTAGTGACCAGTTCAATACAGACACAAGTCCGGTAGAACAGCCCTAGTTCATATTAGTATAGAGTAGTAAATTATTGGAAAGATTAAGCATTTCTAGCATTTGGGGAGAGTCATTAAATGTAAACTTACCAAAAGTTCAAGTAAAAAGAGGCTCTTTTCTTTTTAATAGCGGAACCCAGTTACTTAAGAAATCTGGAAGGTTTTGGAGAGAAGCTGCTAGCCTGGGGTTGGGGTTGGGAATGGGGAAGGGGAGAAGGGCAAAAAAAGAAATTGATTTTGTTTTTCACATAAATGTAAAAATGACTACTGTTATCCTTTAAAATGCTAAAAGTTTAGCTATTATTAAAATGTAAGGATAGAGATGTATTATTAAAATATAAATAATTTTAATTGTATCAAATACTCCATTAAGTATGAAATATTAAACACTGTGGGAAAAAAAAAAAACAATGACTTACAGCGTTTACAGGCGTCCCCAGCCCATCATAATACATTACTCCTAGCTGGTAAATTGCTTGATGATCCTTCTCCTTGATTTCTTCAAACTGTTGTAATGCTTCTTCATACCATCCCTATAAACCCCCAGAAAGTGTGAATTTTTTTATTTTGATTTTAAATTAATCTCAACCAAATATTTAATTCCCGTCTAAGTGTGAGTTAGTAATACAAAATAAAACAACAAAAGATAAGATCAAATTTATGGAATTTGCAACTAAGTCATTGAAAACAATCATCACAGTAGAACATCAATTAAATTGACCTAAATATGGCGACTGAAGGAAGTGCCCAGGAGGAAGCAAGTGAGACTCTCTTAGCCTTTCTTCACACATCCTCTTGGCTCTTGCCAAACTCTCTCAAAATGATACCCAGCCCTCTGCTCAATCTGGCTGGCCTTGTCGCTGCCACTGCTGGAGACTGAAAAGCTTCAGAGTAGGGGACAAAGTCTCAGAAAAAAGTTCAGGGTATTTACTATCAAGTCTCATGTTCTTCAGCTTTGCAATTTTCTGGCTAGGGAGAAGACATGGAAAAACAAACGTGATTCTCCATAATTATCTTCTACCCATACTTCCTATCAAAATTGACATATGTCATTTTTGTAAGGCTCCTGATAACACACATGCTAAGGGATAAGGGACTAATATGGGGTTTATATCTTAATCCAGAACCCTGGTGGCACAGTGGTTAAGTGCTCAGCTGCTAATCAAAAGGTCGGCAGTTTGAATCCACCAGCTGCTCCTTGGAAACTATACGGGCAGTTCTGCTCTGTCCTATAGGGTTGCTATGAGTTGGAATATCGATTTAATGGCAACGGGTTTGCTTTGGTATCTTAATCCATCATGGAAATGCCTTACACGAAAGAATGAGTGACTTGTAATGGTGGAAAAAAAGTCTTTTACTGAGTTGGATGGTCATTCCTAGGAATAACAGGCTAGAGAAACACAACTTTTGGAAAACACAAAAACAAATGAATTGCTCTTTCACAAACTATAATTAAGAACAAATTGATAAAAATTAAAACTGCACCAAAACACCAACAAAAATCTACTTAATGTAACAGTGAGCCAGTATATTATGAATGAATGAATGAGTTGTTAAAACTCATTTTTTGTGGCCAGTGTTTGCCTAGATGTGAGAGTGCTGGAAAAGTTACTCTATCAGAGGAAGAGAAAGGAAGTCCTTTCAGTTTTCATGATTTTAAATACCGCATAAGCCGAAACCCAAACCCACTGCTGTTGAGTCGATTCTAACTCATAGCGACCCTATAGGACAGCGTAGAACTGCCCCAGAGGGTTTCCAAGGCTGTAGATCTTTATGGAAACAGACTGCCACATCTTTCTCCTGCAGACGGGCGGGTGGATTCCAACTGCTGACCTTTTGGTTAGCGACCAAGCACTTTAACCACTGTGCCACCAGGGCTCTTTTTAAATATCATATACATGCTGACAAATCTCAAATATGTATGTTCAACTCAGATTTCTCCTTTGAGATCTACACTCTTACATATAAGTCTCTACTTTGAAACATGTCTTCTTGGATGACTAACAGGCACCTCAAACATAATATGGCTAAAAATTGAACTCTTGATCTTCCCCTCAGAACTCATTTCTTCCCAGTTATTCTCTATTTTTCAGTCTATGATGTCATTATTTCATCATCATTTTAAATAAATCCAGGATCCAGCTCCATCACCACCACTCTGGTCAAGGCCATCTTCTGACTGAATTAAGTCTCCTAAAGAGATCCTGCTTCCATTCTTGCTCTCAAATTAGTTCATCATACGCTCAAAACACTTCGATGGATTCCTGCTACATTTTAAATAAAACACATCTAGAGCCATTCTTCTCTGCCTTGCTTTTTACCACCCTGTTGTGTTGTTGTTAGGTGCTGTTGAGTCAGTTTCAACTCTTAGCGACACTACATACAACAACGAAACGCGCGGTCTTGCGCCATCCTCATAATCATTATGTTTGAGCCTGTTTTCGTAGCCCCTGTGTCAGTCCATCTCATGGAGGGTCTTCCTCTTTTTCACTGACCCTCTACTTTACCAAGCATGATGTCCTTCTCCAAGGACTGGTCCCTCCTGATAACATGTGCAAAGTAAGTGAGACAAAGTCTTGCCATCCTTGCTTCTAAAGAGCATTCTGGCTGTACTTCTTCCAAGACAGATTTGTTTGTTCTTCTGGCAGTCCATGGTATATTCAGTATTCTTCCCCAACACCATAATTGAAGTGCTTCAATTCTTCTTCGGTCTTCCTTATTCATTGTCCAGCTTTCGCATGCATATAAGGCAATTGAAAATACCGTGGCGTGGGTCAGGTGCTCCTTAGTCCTCAAAGTGACATCTTTGCTTTTTAATACTTTCAAGAGGTCTTTTAGAGCAATTTGCCCAATGCAATATGTCGATTGCTTTCTTGACTGCTGCCATGGACATTGATTGTGGATCCAAGTAAAATGAAATCCTTGAGAACTTCAGTCTTTTCTCCATTTATCATGATGTTGCTTATCGGTCCAGTTGTGAGGACCCACTGGTGTCCTTTAACTCCTAGAGCTCACAGAGCTCTTTCTCATCTCGGAAACTCTGCGTTTGCCGTTCGCTCTCCCCGGAATGCTCTTCTCCTTGACTGTTTGCTCATTTCCTTTTCTTCAAGTTTTGGTTTTAACAACAGGCTTTTCTGCCCTACCCTTAAGTTATTCTCTATCGCAACACAGTTAATTGCTTTCATATACTTTTTCCTGATTTGTAATTATAGTTTAATTTATTTTGTTCCCCCCACTAGACTGCAAGCTTTAAGAAACGGAGACATTCTAATTACCTCATCAATAAATATATATATATATATATTTTTTTTTTTTTTTCAATGACTAGCATAATAGCAAACACTTAAATAACACTTATTAGATGCCAGGCCCTGTTGGTAAGTATTTTTACAATTCATACATTTAATCTTCACAATATTCCTATGAGATACATTATTTTCCCTTTACAGATGAGGAAACCGAGGTACCCAGACGTGTTTGTGCCCAAGGATACACAGTTAACAAGCTATAGAGCCATATTTAAACCCATGCTCAAAGCTGAGAGACCATGCTCTTAAGCATTACGCTCTGCTGTCCTCATAGTGACAGGAGGAGGCCAAGTCCCCAGCAAATACATGTCACCAAAGTAAATGAAAGAGCCATCAAAAAGCTAGAGGCTAAGTGGGATCTAGGCAAATAGCTGCCCACATATTCTATGAATGGCGATGGATTGGGGACAGTTGGTCCCTTTTCAAATCTTCCCTTGGAGTTCAATGAAGATTTGAAGCTCTGTTACTGAAGTTGGCATCATAGTTTGCATAGTTCCTCCTAGATTTACTTCTCGGGACATCCCAGCATAATACCGATAAAGAGGGCAATTCCCTTCTCACTTTGTATGGGAACATGTAAGGTACCTTTCAGTTCTATATAACAACCAGGATCTTCATTAATATGAAAACATTATACAAATAATTTTAAACATTTTGAACAAAAATCTAAAAATTGGATTTTTAATTTATACTGTAAAAATGTACTTTATAGTAAAATGATTCCAACAAATGACATTCATTAGAGTAACTTTTATGAAGAAATGTCAGACATCTCCTTCAGCGGGTACCGTGTATCATACTTAAAGCCACAACCGTAATCTATGTAATTTGACAGAATTTCCTGGTATAACAGTATAATGAACTCTACAGGAAAATTTTGCTATAGATCTAACAACAGCATTACAGGAAATGAAAACAAAGAAATGACACCTCTTCAAAATACAGTTGACCTCGTAGGAAATATGCCAGAGAGTCCCCTCTTCTTATTCTTTCCTTCAAGAGCTGCAGGGCCTTATCCACCAAAGTAGCATGGCTGTAATGATCTGATTAAAAAAAGGCAAAGTAATTCCATGTATAACCATACAATATGAATGTTCCTTCTTGAAATAATAAATTACCTAAAATTCATCTGACTCATTCTAGTTTCCTTCCTAGTTCTTATTTCTAAACTTGGCCTCCTTAGCTCAAGGAAAAAGCATTAGATAGATTCAAGGCCTGCCATGAAGGTAGGGGAAACATTTTCATGTGTGTCCTCTGAACCCCCAGGTAAACGATGGAGTGTTTTCTTCAGAAGGACTGAGGACATTTGGAACCAACGTGAAGTTTTTACTTCAACTACACTTGCCTCTTCATCTTTTCTGAGTGTATCTTGTCTCCATGTCTTTGCTCATACTATTTCCTTGACCCAGAATTTCTTCCTACTAATCTTCAAAATCCAACCTAATCTACACCATCTCATTATTAAATTACAATGATCTCTCTTTCTTCAATTTCCTGGAGCACAGATTGTCTGCTGTCACTCACTTGGCACTTCTCACATAATCCTTCTGCTATTAGGTGTTGTCATGCATGCGTATTTTTCTTTCCTCAGATTAAAATGTAAATTCCTTGAGAATATGGGTAACTTCTTACATTTTACATTCGTGACAGTACCTACCACATTGCCTTGTACAATCAAGAAAAGTTTGTCCATTAGGTTTCAAAGTAACTCTGTTCACTGCCAGGCAGGAACCCCAGCAATGAAGTTTCAGTCTAAGCATAGGTTTTTCTTTGGGCAAAGGTATCCTGTAGTTAAATTCTTAATTTTAGCCTTAATTAGAACTACCTTCTAATGAGCTAACCATCCCTAATTTAATTTTTTTAAAGTCTATATGAAAAAAGTAAAGCAAGGCACTCTTTAACAGAAGTGCCATCTGGCTTCTCTTTTCCAGAAGGTGGATCTTAGGTGCAGAAAATAAAATCAGGGTCAGGATCTAATTGTGAGACCTCTCCACTGATGATTTGCTACCGGATAAATAAGTAGCAATTTCATAGATTCTTGTGGGAAAGCTGGAAAGGACTGAAAAATTAACCACTTCCTTGAAAGCAGTAAGACTCATATTCTTGTCTTGTTTGCTCTAGTACACATAATTAATTTTGGTGAAAATATTTTCCAAAGGAAGATGAAATACCAGGATTTGTGCCAGTCTTTTCCTTTCTCCATTGGAATAATTTTTGGTTCTTGAAAGCATACTGGGTTATGAGAGAGGTATAAACGGGGTTCGTGGGCAACTTTTCACTGGTCAACTTCATCCTGTCTCCACAATGTGTCTTCTGTAAACAAGAATAAAATATAACATGGTTAGAAACATCTTCCTCCAGAAACGTGCAAAAGGTAACTACATTCCAATGTGGCACTCAATATAAACAGCATACTCACCTCATCACCTAAGGATAGGACCCGAGCTACCAGCTTTGGGATGCAAATAGTCTTTCCTAGGCAACCAGGACCCTCTATAGCCATCCTCCATGACTGTTTCCATAGCATGGGATTAATGCTGAGACGTGTTTGAAAGTCCCCCCTGGCTATGAGTTCATCTGCTGCACTGGGTAATGTCACCCTCACAGTGGTGGCCAGCAGTGGAAACTGGTACACTGCCCAAAGATACAGCTCTTGTGCACTGCCGCCTTCCTCTTGCCTTGTAACTGAAGCTCATCTGACCAGTCCGTCTCAAATTAAAGCATTTGTGTGTTTTACCTGGGAATACACTTTATTTTAGCTCTGTTGTTCATTTTTATCTTCCCGTCTATATTGGATTGCCATGTTCTAAGGTGGATCACAGCTGAATGGTCAATCAGAGCCTTCATATACAATGTAGAGGCCACCTCATCTGGGATGAAGGAGTCCAGGTTGGCCTAGGCTGAAGTAGTGAGACAGCAAACTCAGTTGTTGCTATGCTTTTTTGTTGACTCCTTAGCATTCTTCTGTTACAGCTGACTTTCACCAATCAGGAACAAGCTTCCAGTAAAGGTTCCTGATTGGTGGTCAGGAGATGAACTCAAGAGACCCTTACTGTGATTGGAAAGCAACATATATACAATTCCGTGATACTATTTTGGACAATAAAATGCTTCATCAATGAAAATGAAATGCAGAAATGAGAGATAATTTGGTACCTTAGGAAAAAAATTACTGAACTATTTTTGTGATTTTGGAACAGTCATTTAATTTTCTTAAGAGTCATTTTCCTCATCTTTAGTTTGGATAAGTAATTTTGAACTTTGTTGTTGTTGTTGTTAGGTGCTGTCAAGTCAGTTCTAACTCATAGCAACCCTATGTACAACAGAACAAAACACCGCTGTCCTCACTTCTAAGGAGCATTCTGGCTGTACTTCTTCTAAAACAGATTTGTTTATTCTTTCTGGCAGTCAACGATATATTCAGTATTCTTTGCCAACACCATAATTCAAATGCATCAATTCTTCTTCAGTCTTCTTTATTCATTGTCCAGCTTTTGCATGCATATGAGGCAACTGAAAACACCATGGCGTGAGTCAGGTGCACCTTAGTTTTCAAAGTGACATCTTTGCTTTTTACCACTTCAAAGAGGTCTTTTGCAGCAGATTTGCCCAATGCAATACGTTGTTTGATTTCTTGACTGCTGCTTCCATGGACGTTGATTGTGGATCCAAGTAAAATGAAATCCTTTACAACTTCAGTCTTTTCTCCATTTATCATGATGTTGATTATTGGTCCAGTTGTGAGGATTTTTGTTTTCTTTATGTTGAGGTGAAATCCATCCTGAAGGCTGTAGTCTTTGATCTTCATCAGTAAGTGCTTCAAGTCTTCTTCACTTTCAGCAAGCAAGGCTGCGTCATCTACAGAACGAAAGTTGTTAATGAGTCTTCCTCCAATCCTGATGGTCTGTTCTTCTTCATATACATCTTCTCAGATTATTTGCTCAGCATACAGATTGAATAAGTATGGTGAAAGGATACAACCCTGACGCACACCTTTCCTGATATTTAACCACGCAGTCTTCCCTTGTTCTGTTCAAACAACTGCCTCTTGGTCTATGCACAGGTTCCACATGAGCACAATTAAGTGTTCTGGAATTCCCATTAACCATAATTTGTTATGATCCACACAGTCGAATGCCTTTGCATAGTCAATAAAACACAGGTAAACATCTTTCTGGTATTCTCTGCTTTCAGCCAAGATCCATCTGACATCAGCAATGATTTCCCTGGTCCACATCCTCTTCTGATTCTGGCTTGAATTTCTGACAGTTCCCTGTTGATGTACTGCTGCAACCGTTTTTGAATGATCTTCAGCAAAATTTTACTTGTGTGTGATATTAACAATATTGTTCGATAATTTCCTCATTCTGTCAGATCACCTTTCTTCGGAATGGGCACGTATATGGATCTCTTTCAGTTGGCTGGCTAGATAGCTTCGTCTTCCAAATTTCTTGGTATAGATGAGTGGGCACTTCCAAAGTTGCGTCCATTTGTTGAAACATCTCAAGTGGTATTCTGTCAATTCCTGAAGGCTTATTTTTCACCAATGCCTTAAGTACAGCTTGGACTTCTTCCTTCATTACTATCAGTTCCTGATCATATGCTACCTCCTGAAATAGCTGAACATCAACCAATTCCTTTTGTTACAGTGACTCTGTATATTCCATCCAACTTCTTTTGATGCTCCCTGTGTAGTTCAATTTTTTGCACATAGAATTCTTCAATATTCCAACTGGAGGCTTGAATTTTTTTCTTCCGTTCTTTCAGCTTGAGAAATGCTGAGCATGTTCTTCCCTTTTGGTTTTCTAACTCCGGGTCTCTGCACACTCCAGGTTGAGCCGCCCTTTGAAATCAGCTGTTTTACTTCATCAATTCTTTCATCTGCTTTAGCTACTCGACATTCAAGAGCAATTTTCAGAGTCTCTTCTGACATCCATTTTGGTCTTTTCTTTCTTTCCTGTCTTTTTAATGACCTTTTGCTTCCTTCATGTATGATGTCCTTGATGTCATTCACAACTTGTCTGGTCTTTGGTCTTTAGTGTTCAATGCATCAAATCTATTGTTGTACTATTCTAGCACTTTTTTAATTTAAGAAGGTAAGAACTAAGATTGAAAAACGAATTTTTTTTTTTTTTGGCCACATCTTGGGATTAGATATAAAATTGTTTGAAACTTGACAGCTATTTGCATAACATTGTAGATTTAGGAAATTATTACTCTAGGTATTGTAGACATTAATTGGTGATAAAGAATCTTAACAAAATTGATGATTTAAAGGGAAGGACAGGTGTGGTGGGTGCTGTCGGTGCCCTTCCTATACCCTCTTACAGGTTGGTGTCCCCATCTCCAGCTGCTGCGAATGTTAACTGGAAACAATTCATGGCTGCTCCTTCTCTGGAGCATTGTCCCCAGCAGAACATGAGTTCTCATTGAGACACTTTGCTCCATTTTTCTCAGGAGACAGACCTTGGCCAATGTATCTCCCTGCCTGACTCCATCCTTCCCTCCCACACTGCCCACAAGCTTCTTTTACATGTTTCTTGTTGTTAAGTGCCATTGAGTCGATTCAGGCTCATAGTGACCCCGTGTGTTACAGAGCAGAACTGCCCCATAGGGTTTTCTAGGCTGTAATCTTTACGGGAGCAGATTGTCAGCTCTTTCTCCCCAGAAGCCGCTGGTGGGCTCAAACCACCAAACTTTCGGTTAGCAGCCTAGAGCTTAACCAGTGTGACACCAGGGCTCCTTTATGTTTCCTGCTATCCATGTTTTCTCTTAAGTGTCTGTTCAAATCTTTTAACCTTTGGGTTGTTCGTCTTGTTGATTTATTGTTCTCTGTATATCCGGAGTTCAGGTCTTTATTTATGAGTGTAAACCGTGTTCCACATACCCTTCTCCAGCTCGTGACTTGTTTTTTCTCTTTATGGTGTTTGAATGTAATTTATCATTCTTTTCCTTTATGGTTTACATTTTGTGTCTTGTTCAAGAAATCTTTTGATACCTCAAGATCCGAGAAATATTCTTTCTGTATCGTCTTAGAAAACTTTCATAGTTTTGCCCTTCTCATGCAGTTTTCCTGTTGCATTTGTGTGAGTTAGCAACCTAATTTCTTTTTGTGTATATATAACTGTGATAGTTAATGTTGTGTGTCAGCTGGCTAGGCCATGATACTCAGTAGTTTGGCAGTCATGTAATGATGTAGTTTGGCAGTTATGTAATTATATAATTTGGCAGTTATGTAATGATGCAGTCATTCTCCATTTTGTGCCATGATGTAATCACTTTCCATTTTGTGATCTGATGTAATCATCCTACATTTTGTGATCTGATGTCAGCAGCCAATCAGTTGAAAAGGGAGTGTCCTTGGGGGTGTGGCCTGCATCCAATATATATGGATGTTCTGGCAAAGCTCACTCATTTGCTCTGCATCCTGCATGCAGCTTGTCATCATCTGGCCTCTGGTTCTTGGGACTTGAGCCAGCAGCCTGCCATCTTACCTCCTGACCCTGGATTTGTCAGCCTCTGCACCCTGTGAGCCAGTGGCCTGCCATCTTACCTGCCAATCTTGGGATTCGTCAGCCTCTGCAGCCTATGAGCCAGCAGCCTGCTGTCCTACCTGCCAATCTTGGATTCGTCAGCCTCTACAGCCCGTGAGCCAGTGGTCTGCTGTCTGACCTGCCAATCTTGGGTTCATCAGCCCCTGCAACTACGTGAATCAGGAGGAGCCTCCAGCTTGACGCCTAACCCACAGACTCAGAACTTGCCAGCCTCCACAACAGCGTGAGCCATTTACTTGAGATAAATCTCTCTTATATATATATTTATATACATATGCTCCACTGATTTTGCTTCTCTAGAGAACCCAGCCTAAGACAATAACCAAATGTCTCCCCATCATTTATTGAAAAAAATCATTATTTCCCCACTGAGGTGCAGTGGTAGCCCTGTCATGAATCAAGTTTTTCTCTCTCAAGATATTTTAATGTCAGAAGTTCAATATCAACTCTTTCTTTCTCTTCCCATTTTTGCTGTAATGATTCTAATCCACCCACCACCCTTGAGAAAAATGAGGGAATGGATGCCTAGGGCTGACCAGAGATTACATAAACAGATATAAAAAAGAAAAGCATACAATCTTTTTCAAAATATTTCTCCTATTACAAAAAAAAAAAAATCATTTGTTAACTGCCTACTGTCAGGCACTGCACTATCTACAACTTTGTAAAATAGCTTTTTAAATCTCTCTTTTAAAAGGAAAGTTTCTTGCCTAGAATTCTGCTGCAGTTAGCTGGGAACGGTTGGCGAGGCGCCAGCACCACGCAGAGCGCTTCCCACAGATGTCCCGGCGGAAAGCTACTGACAGCGCGCTCGTTTCCTGGTTACGTGCGTGCGCGAAAGCAGAGCCCGCGGCCCCCTTCCTCCGAACGAGCAACACGCCGGAAAAGTCACCCAGACGTGCCAACTTCCGAGGCCCCCGCCCTTCCCCAGCCCCTCGGCCTCCCTGCCTCTCAGCACCCCCGCACCACCCTTCCGGCGCACGCGTGCTGGGCTCAGGGGGGCGGGCCGGGTGCCGCCCCGTGGCCAATCGCTGGCAGAGCCGCGCCAGCCCCCGCAGGCCTCCCAGCGCACGCGTGCTGGGCTCAGGGGGCGGGCCGGGTACCGCCCCGTGGCCAATCGCTGGCAGAGCCGCGCC